GACATGGTGCCTCTGCCAACGAGGGTACGATCCAAGGCTCCACCAGTGTCTTCCACTGGGGTGATGTGTGCTACGACGTCAAGATCAAGACCGAAACCCGCAGAATTCTGGACCACGTGGACGGCTGGGTCAAACCAGGAACTCTTACAGCCTTAATGGGCGTCTCTGGTGCTGGAAAAACCACCTTGCTTGATTGCTTGGCAGACCGTGTCTCCATGGGCGTGATTACCGGAGAGATGCTCGTCGATGGAAAGATCCGAGACCAGTCCTTCCAACGCCGTACTGGCTACGTTCAGCAACAGGATCTGCATCTCGAGACCAGCACTGTTCGTGAGGCATTGGAGTTCAGTGCTCTGTTGCGACAGCCGGCCGCTACCCCTCGCGCTGAGAAGCTGGCATACGTCGACGAAGTCATCAAGCTTTTGGACATGCAGGATTACGCTGAAGCCGTCGTGGGCGTGCTCGGCGAGGGATTGAACGTCGAACAGCGCAAGCGACTCACCATTGGTGTTGAGCTGGCTGCCAAACCACCCTTGCTTCTTTTTGTCGATGAACCTACCTCTGGATTGGATTCGCAAACATCTTGGGCCATCCTGGATCTGCTTGAGAAGCTCTCAAAGGCCGGCCAGTCTATTCTTTGCACTATTCACCAACCGTCTGCCATGCTGTTCCAGCGCTTCGACCGCCTGTTGTTCCTGGCAAAGGGCGGTAGAACTGTCTACTTTGGCGATATCGGCGAGAACTCCCACACCCTTACGTCCTACTTTGAGAGGAACGGCGCCCCTGCGTGCCCTCCCGGCGAGAACCCGGCCGAATGGATGCTTTCTGCTGTTGGTGCAGCCCCTGGCTCACACACTGAGGTCGATTGGCATCAGGCATGGAAGTCTAGTCCCGAGTACCAGGCTGTTCAGGATGAGCTCCAGCGCCTCAAGTCTCACGACGCGCCTGAAGAGCACTTGTCCGCCGAGGAAGAGAAGTTGGCACACCGCGAATTCGCCGCTCCGCTTTGGGATCAGTTCCTGATTGTCACTCGCCGTGTCTACCAGCAGTACTGGCGTACGCCTTCTTACCTTTACGCCAAGTTCATTCTCTGCTGCTCCGTGGCCCTCTTCATCGGTCTTGTCTTCCTCAACGCTCCTCTCAGTATCCAGGGCTTGCAGAACCAAATGTTCGCCATCTTCAACATTCTCTCCATCTTTGGTCAGCTCGTGCAACAACAAATGCCGCACTTTGTCACCCAGCGCTCTCTTTACGAAGTTCGTGAACGGCCTTCCAAGACGTACAGCTGGAAGGTGTTTATGATGTCGCAAATCGTCACCGAGATCCCGTGGAACTCTCTCATGTCCGTCTTCATGTTCATCTGCGTCTACTACCCTGTCGGTCTCTATGAGAACGGTGACCCGAGCCAAAAAAGCGAGCGCGCCGGTCTCGTATGGCTCCTGTTCTGGCAGTTCATGGTCTTCACCTGCACCTTCGCCCATGCTTGTATCGCCATTACGGACACCGCTGAGATGGGTGGTAACCTCGCCCAGGTCTTGTTCATGATGTGTCTGCTGTTCTGTGGTGTCTTGGCCAGCCCCGCCGCTATGCCCGGCTTCTGGATCTTCATGTACAGGGTGTCACCGTTTACCTACTTGTTATCGTCAATTCTCTCGACAGGTCTGGCAAACTCCAAGGTGACGTGCTCGACGAACGAGTACATCCACTTCGATCCGCCAAACAACCAGACTTGCGAGAACTACATGGAGGGTTACATGAACGCCATGGGAGGGTACATCAAGAACCCATCTGCCACATCAGACTGCCAATTCTGCACCATTGCCGACACCAACGTCTTCCTCAAGAGTATCAGCGCCAACTTTGACAACCGATGGCGTGACTTTGGTATCGGCATGGTGTACATTGTCGTCAACATCGTCGCCGCTCTGGGTCTTTACTGGCTGGTTCGCATGCCCAAGGGCAAGAAGAAGGCCTAAGCCACAACAGAAGCGCTTCAGGAGGCGCCATTTTATTCCACCACTTTACAGTAAATGACTCTGCCGCATAGCCAAATTTCTTTCATTAATCAGATACATTTTCTCAACATCATTGTGTACCTTAGGGGTAATGGGCATCATAGAATTTTCTAGTTTTAGGTTGAGGTTACATACTAGAGCTCTCGCAAGACTACTGCATAGTCTCAATCAAATCAGTCAAATGAATTACAACTGTCCTTGCCTTTGCGTTTTCGTGACTGAAGACCTATGTCAGCCAATGATGCCTCAAGCAGCTGAAACTGCAATTCTATCGACATGTATGTGAATTAGTCCTCGATTTAGTGACAGTGACAGTTGGTGACTGTCAGCAAAGACAGCCCTTACCCCAGCTGTGTGTAAGTGCGTCTCTGCAAGGATCGCCTCATCCGACCTCCAAACATCTGATGTCAGTTGCTACCCCAATTATTGACTCAACCCATCAGAGTCAATGTCGCCAAACACTGACAAAATACAAGGCTTACCTTGAGACGACGGGTAACCATTTCCACAACACCTCTTATTTGCCACGATCAGTGTTTTATACGTGTACGTACAACTTACCTCGGGGCCAAGCAACGTCCCCCCTCCCGCTCTTCCCGCGGTCCCCCGCACAATCGTCTGTCGACATCCGGCATTTGGAGATCAGTTTCTTATAAGTGGCCGGCCAGAGGTCAGCTTAGGCAAGGTATCGTAATTGAATGGTGATATCCGACTTAACAGAGTCAACCTCCCACCACAAGGCAGCTCGAGCCTCAATTTCATCATTTATGAGCAGTGACTCTCAAGTGTTTCAAGCATCCATCCAAACAATGGCTTTCCAAGTGAGACAGCCCAAGAATCGAGAGCTTCTCGGCGGAGACCTCCTCGCTCAGTCTCTGGCTCATCTGGGCGCGACAACTGCATTCGGTATCCATGGTGTGTTCCTCTAAACATGAACCATTTCGCTTCTCTCGAACTAACGCCAACTCACAGGCGGGCACCTGGATAGCTTCCTCATCGCCGCCGTTGAAGCCGACATCAAGCTCATAGACGTCCGCCACGAGACCGTCGCCGTCCAGGCCGCCGAAGGCTGGGCCAAGGTCAAGGGCAACGACGTCCCAGGTGTATGCTTCATCACGGCCAACTCTGGCTTCTGCAACGGCCTGCCCGGTCTCAGCACCGCCTTCGCGGACCGCTCCCCGGTGTTCTGCATCACGAGCTCGCCGCCGCTGCGCGACGCAGAGACGAATACCCTCCAGGGCTTTCATGACCAGGTCGTGCTGGCGAAGCCCGTGACGAAGTTTGCGCACCGGGTTACTAACGGCAGCGAAATCCCGCGCATCGTGAGCTTGGCGTGGCGGGCGACGACGGCGGGAGCACCTGGGCCGGTACTCGTTGATTTCCCCATCGATGTGCTCTTCATGCCGGTAGAGATAGATAGCGTGGCTTGGGGATCCATCACGGCGCCGCCGGTATCACTCCCTGCCCCTGATGCTGGAGCAATCGGGAATGCATTGAGACTCTGGGGAGAGGCGAAGCGACCCGTGATTCTAGTCTCGACTGGCGCAGCGAGGGCTGCGGACGAGGTAGTGAAGCTTGCTGAAGCGACGAATACTCCGATCTTCCACTCGCCCAAGTTTTCTACGACCATCAAGCGCTCGCATCCTCTTTTCGGTGGTGTGGCGACCCGACTTCCGTTTTTGCGCGCTCAGGGGCCGGCTCCGGATTTTGTTCTCTTGCTAGGGGCCAGGACTGGCTTCTTGATTGGTGGTAGAAGTGGTGCGATTGTGCCGAATGAGAGTGAAGCAAAGGTTGTGCAGGTCGATTTGGATGGGAGCGAGATTGGGCGCTCAAGAAAGATCGATGTAAGATACTTGCCCCACCAACATAAGGCTTCAGGAAGAGGACGGAGTATGCTAACTAGACGAAACACAGGTCGGCATCGTGTCGGATGTCGGGCTCGCAGCTCAGGCTCTCACGGCGGCGGCGTCCAAGTCATCTGTCAAGGCGAGCAGTGAGTGGGTGGATAAGGCCATGGCGTTGAAGAAGCCAAGCGTTCACTCGGCTGCAAACGAGGAAGACCCGGTTATCGTCGAGGAGAACGACCGCATTCATCCCTATCACGGCGTGAAGGCCTTCTTCCAAGCACTGCCCGAAGACAGTATCCTTTGCATGGACGGCGGCGAGTGTGGTGGATGGGCCCTGCAGTCTCTCAATGAGGCGAGAACGGGACTCTCAATGGTGACGACCGGCTATCTGGGCTTCCTGGGCAACGGCTTTGGATACTCACTTGGTATGTGGCCCATCTTACCTCTCTGTGGGGCATAACACAATGAATCAACTCGCTGACTTCAAACAGGTGCCGCCATCGCCGCACCAGACAAGCTGGTCGTCAACCTCTACGGAGACGGCAGCGCAGGCTTCCACATCGGCGAGCTCGACACCTACGCCAAGTTTGGCCTCAACATCCTCACAGTTGTGGTGAACAACAGCGTCTGGGGCATGTCGCAAGCCGGGCAGAACATGATTTACGGGGAGAAGACTCCGCAGCGGCCGTGCGTGGCGATGAACCCAAAGGTCAAGTACGAAGTCGTCGCGCAAGGGTTCGGGTGCGAGGGGGCGGTGGTGGACGTCGTCAAGGAGAACGGCGCCAGCAACGGGCCCAAGACGTTGGAGTCTGTCGAGGTTGCGGTGAGGACCTTGACGAGCGCAAGGCAACCTTCGTTGCTCAATTTGAAGGTGTCTGATGTGCCGTATCAGAATACTACAAAGGCTATGGTGAGTTATGTCTTTTCTTGTTTCCGGGATTGGTGGATATGAGGTTAACACGGTGTTTAGGTCGGAGGAAGCAGTGATCCCAACATCATTGTCGTACCGTACTACGACAATCTCCCCAGACCGTACTACAAGAAGTCTGAGCAGGGAGCGGCTGCGTCTACGAATGCGACTTCAGCGCCGAAGGAGGACAGCTTCGTCGAAGGTCACGGCACAATTCAGTAACGAGCAAAACATGTATTGGTAAACCAGTGTAGACGCTGGTGTTGATCTGAACGGTACAAAACAGAGCTCTTCCTCTGGGCAAGACGAAACTCCATCAAGCGTGTCCCAGCTGGTGTGCCACTATGACCTTGCGTGCCGTTTTGCAGAACTGCCGTGGGCTCCGTACCATGACACGTAGCAAACCTCGCACCATGTGACCGAGTGAGCTCTGTTGAAACAGTTTCCGAATACTTCCATGCTCATGCTCTTTGCTGTTGACGTGAAGACCGTCGCTGTAGATATCATTCTCGTCGCCAAGGTGTACCATCCAGTCCAAGCCCCTCGGGGATTTTCCCGCGCCAAAATCATACCACAATGTCACGCGCAGGTCGTCTCCCTCGCGCAAAATCGAGTAGTCGACAGGGCAACATTGGCAATCCCCATCGTGCACAATTCCTGGATTGTTCCAAGCCGACTCGACAGTCTTCTCAAATGCGCTCCAGTCCACGATGCCCCAGTACCACCACGGGAACAGCTGGTGTCGGCAGATTCTGAAAGAGCGAATCTCGTGGAGCGTTGCTATTCCATGAAAATCTTTAACTACTTGTAAATAGAATTTGCCTTTGATGATTCGCGGTGTGTGGCGAGTCACATTCGGTGAACCCGATTTCCAAGACGGACCTTCTCGGTCTGCTATGTACACGCAAGGTTCCAGGAGCTCAGAGAGGTAGCCTGCATTGGTGCCCATGCGCCTGAACTTGAGCGCGAGTTCGATGTGGGTGTGTCGGAGCTTGTAGGACCGGCCGAGGGTGTCGAGGGCTTCTCCCTGCTGGCATGGCGGTGATCGAAGGCTCCAAGGCGTGTCTGAACGGTCCGTTTCGTGAAGTCCGCAGCAGCGCGCGCAGGCCCAGTGGTTCGGCAGTCTGTATGCCACCACGGCCCAGAATGAGATTCGTTCAGGCTCGGGGAGTGCTAGGGAGGCATCTTTCCAGTCTTTTTGTGTGAGAATGCGCCCGGCACGACAGGTCTGCGAGAACATGAATTGGCTCAGTAGATCGAGATGGCCGATGATCTCTTGGAGTAAGTCGATGGAAAGTCTGAGAACATAGGCCTTTCCGGGCTGTTGTTTGGGTCCCGCCAGCTTCTTGAGGCAACGGCTTTCGAAGGCGATGGCTCGCTCCCACAAGCGGATTCGAGACCGAGTGGCAGGCACGTCGGCCATATTGACAGTTTCAAAGAGAGGTCACAAAGAGGTGAGTTGTCATACTGGGGCTGGATATCCGACCCAAGCCTCGAAAGCAGGTATTGTCAGGGCAGATATGCATCACAACTTATAAATGCCCTTCTAGGGAGAATCGGGATCGACGGAGCTTTTCCTGAGTCTGGTTGTCAAGCTCACACGACTGTTGAAATCTGCCAGGGCGTTGACCCAAATGCAATGTAGTGGATTGACTTATCAATAGTCTTCAGCCTCCTCGATAATGATGTCCAACATCAAGGGACGCACGCATGTTAGGGAAACATCATCTCGGCTTTCGCCTAAACTCAAAAGACCACCTACGTGCTGAACGGTATGGAAGCATAGCTCAACGGCGATCAACGTCCCCTGATAGAACACGCCACCTCTCAACGAGGATGCTTCCATGCATCGTGGCGTCTAATTATGCGCAATGGCAGTCATACATGTTATATATTTAGACTAGGTTCACTACACTGGCACGTGACAGGTCATCCTCTCTTCCATCGAACTCTACGTCAGACAAGGAGTGGAGAGCAGATGCCCGGTTTGATGACCGGAGAGCTGCGCAAGCCGTGAACTCTTCTGGCCGAACCGCCTGGGACCTTGAGGAGCCAGATAGTCAGCCTCGTAAAGTGCTTGAGAAATGATCTAGACAAAGCAAGCAACATCGCTTGTATCAAGCCACAAGAGAAGGAGTAAACAACAGACTATAGATACGTACCCTGGAAGTCTATGTAAACATCGCCTGCCAAGGCACGGAATCAAAAGTCTCCAGCCGCAATGTATTCCAGGCGACGTTGCCTATTCCAGGCATGAAAGGTGCCGGCACTGCATTCCACCTTGCGGATCTCTGAGATCTTGGTGTACCGGTACTCTTAGCGTTTACCTCATTCTCCTAGAGAATTTGAGAAGGGTTTACTGCCACGTTTCTTTATCACTGATTCGCTTGACAAATATATCCGCTGACGAATACGTGTGCTACGAACGAGGATACGGAGACCGCTATGTTTCTTTATTAGTAGTTTGCCTTTTCAACATATTTGGTAACGAATACGTCTGGTGCAAATGAGGACACAAGAACTGCTTTATATCCTTTTCACTCTTTCACCTCGTAAATGCATTTATTTGTAGACATCTTTGTCGTGAGAAATGACATGGACGAACGTGGGGAAATTTCATACTGGGCTGAGTTTGTCTTGGAATGGGCGCTGTTCCTGTCAATAGATGACTGATTTCTCGATAGAAAGCTCGGGAGGAGCTAAAGGAGCGGCGAGCCTCGTCACAACCTGTAAGGCCTATGATTGCCGAACGCGGAAGAATGCTCAGACAAGTGGCACATAGTAAATCATCAACCATCGAGTACTCGTTAGACATTGCCATCTACCTCTCGTTCTATACGCTCAGAGTACTGTTTTCCAAAGCAAGGCCGTGCAAGGGGGGGTATAAAGAACTCTTGAAGCAAAAACACCACAACCCAACTCATCTCATAATCCAAGAATGCGATCACCTCCAGGGATTCATAGCCCATCGTCTATTACCCTCCGCGCCGGATCCAAAAACCGTTTGAGGCAATCTAGGCCCCTGCAGATGAAGCAGCAGCAGGTCGAGCAGCAGAAGCAGTATTCGAAGAAGTGGCAGCCGTCTCCTCTCTCGTCCTCTCCTCCGCCAACGTCTCCATCACAGGCTCCTCCCTCCCCTCTGCCTCACCCTCACCACTCCTCTGGCCGGCCGGCACCTGCGGCGCCAGGTTCAGCTTCCGCAGCAACTTGACCGCAGCCTTGTTCTCCTCCCGCTCCTCGGCCTCCTTCTCAAGCACTTCTCGCTCCCTGGCCGCGCTCTCGCTCTTATCCTTGGCCTCCTCCTCGCGCTTCCGAAACTCTTCCGGCTCCATAATCTTCTCCTTCTTGTGGGTCATCTTCTCGATCGCCTTCTTGCCCTTTTGCCGCGACTTGAGGTAGACCTCGAGCCCGACGAGCACGGCGTACGACTTGGATATCGACACGTGCGACGTGTCGACGCTCGCCTCCTTGAGGTTCTTGACGAAGGCGCGGAAGTTGGACGCCGGCGGACGGTAGTGCCCGCTGAGCGGCGACAGGCTTGACAGCCGCCCGTCCTTGATCTTGATGAGACCCGCCGAGGAAATGCGGCTGCCCTGCAGGAAGCTCGAGTGCTGGAAGGCGCCCGACGACTTGATGCCCACGTACAGGCGAAAACTCGTGTCGGCGACAAAGATCCAGGTGTTCTTCTTGACCGACTTGCGCAGCATCTTATTGAAGATTGTCGCTGCTGAGATGTGCGACACCTTCTTCATGCCGGTTGCGCCGTCGACCTCTGGCGTGGCGTACTTTGCCGCGCGATCTGCTTCCAACGCTGACTCCACCGAGGATTCGGAGCGGCTATCGTCGGCGACTTCAGCTCCGGGTGATGTTTGTGGGATGTTGCTCTGCGACCACGCCGGCGTCGGATCGTCTGCGGGCACAATGCCGTGGATGCTGTCCTTGAAGGCCTCAGTCGTGTCGATGCGCGCGCCATTCTTGGCCCAGCACAGCCGCCCCTCGTCGTCTACTTGCACGAGGTAGAATTGCCTCTCCTCGCGGGACAGATACCGCACCTGCTCTCTCTCGAGACGGTCGCGGGGACACGCCTCCATTTCGACATTCTTGCCGCCGCCGTAGTCGAGCCAGTAGAAAAAGTTCTCCGTCGTGTCCGACTTTTTCCACTCCTCGTGGTACGTACGCAAGTTACTCCCGTAGCGATGCTTGAGGTCGACCATCTCGAGGAAGTACTGCAACCCAATCATCTTGGAATCCTTCTTCCGCCTCGCCACAGCCTCCTCGCGCTTCTTTTTCCTCTCGGCCTTCTTCTCGGGCGTGTCATCCGACGAAGACCCGGATGAGTCCGAGTCGGACTCGACGTCATCGTGGCCCGCGCGCCGCGCAATCGTCGCCGCCTTCCTCCAGTTCTCACGGGCCGTCGACGGACGACTCATGCCGCCCTCCTCGTCTCTGGAAAGTACACTGTGCCTGTCGCCGGTGGGAGATAAGCCGGCAGCACTAACGGAGCTCTTTGCGCGCGGCCGGTTCAGCTCGCGGAAGTGCAGCTCGTCAATGGCCGATACCCATCTCGTCGATGCGTTCAGCCCCATGCCTTGCATCTCTCTCCGCACGCGATAACCCCGGTAGTTGCGCTGGATCAGCGCCGCGGCCCGGTTGATCGCCTCGCTGTCGCCCTGTTCACCCTCTGTCGTCGAAGCTGGCGGTGGATCTTGCGACATGATTTGCGCTTCGTCGAATATGTCCCCAGCAACGTCACCTTGTCCGTCTTGTGAGCGTCGGACGTTGTGAAAGTGGTCGTGGAGGTGTTGGGTCTGCCGCTTCAACTTATTCCTCTTTAGCTCCTCCTCGCGTGTGCGCTGTACCTCTGCAATCTTTTCAAATTGGTCTTGGGATGGCGGGACCAAACTGTCCATGTACTCCTGGCGAGAACTGTAGTTTGTGCTTGTCTGCGACTGCGCCAATGAGCATGTGTCGTCACTGGGAGGGGCCGTTGCAGAATCAGCCGTGTGAGTGGTGGCGGTGGTGTTGGTGGTGGTAGTGGTCGCAGTAGCAGCAGGGGAAAAGATGGAGTGGGATTCGTCTTGTTCGTCGACAGGTCTTGGCACGGGGGGACTGGCCGGCGGGGTAATAACGGCGGCGGCGGCACCGTTAGGATCATGTTGGTGAAGAGGAGGGGTCTTTTGTGGTGGTCCAGACGTAGGCGCAGAGGAGGCAGAAGCGTCGCTCGGAGACACGGCACCGCCACCAGAAGCAGGTTGCTGGGCTGGAACCGGTATAGAGTCGAGCTCGTGGGCGGGTTTCGTCATGGCGGTTGGTGGAATGGCGGGGTCCGCCCGGTTGTGACGAAAGAGTAGGGATAGGGATCTGATCCGAGAGCCGGTTGGCGCAGGCATCAGGCCTATTTCTATGTGTCGGTTTCTGTGTGTGATGCAAGTATGTGTGCGCGCGCGTGTGTGTGGATTAGGTGAGTTGCGTTCGGTGGTCTGTTTTGTTTCGTTTCGAACTATGACTTTCTTGCTGCTGGTTGGGTTTGGAGCTTGTCTTGGTTGGCTTTTTTTTGTTCTTTCCGGATACTGCAAAGGCGACGTCACTTTCCTTGTAAGCTGATTGAGGTAGTCACCCGGAAGGTTGATGGTGGGATGGAATCAGCAGCTTGAGCCATACGATGGAAGGGAGATGGGGTTGAAGTAAGCATATAATGATTACTATCCATACGGCTGTCAGGACATGGATGTCAAAGTACCCGAGTAAGGTAAGGTAGAACGGGAAATTGTGTGGTCTAAAATTGGAAGAGAAGGAGAAGGAGGGAGAGCAGAAAGCAGTGTCAAGAATGCGCCCAGGAGGAGTGACCGATCAATAATATATTGCATTCGTGGGGCGCTCTCAGATCCTTTCCGGTGGCATGGGATAGATCTCGGCGACGCCTTATGACAAAACCGTGAGCAGAGTCTGCTCTGCTGTAAAGGAAGGAAAAGACCACTACACAAAAACAAACACTTGCCCGCCTTGCATCTTGAGGTACCACGGGGGACACCCTTGCCAGTGGAGGGGGGAGAGGAAGGCTTGGGGCGACGGCATGGACAGCAGAGAAGCAGAAAACTCAGTGACCAAGTTTGCTCAGCCGACGTACCGCTGGCGTGTATACCACCACACTGCGGGCTGTGACGCACGATGGACTGGTCTGCTCGGAATCGCGGATGGGGCCCGTCGGCACGCGGCCGTCTGTCTATGCGCGTATCACCGGTGCACTTCGCAGTCCGCAGAATCTCCCGAATAGGTGTTGAGCACTAGCAGCGTGACACCAACTAACATCTGTATTGACCTATAACGAACCTTCATCGTAACGACCATCCGCAAATAGCAAATCTACCCAAAGTCACCCTAGATGAACAGAGGCTTAACTCTGCCCCACCGCTGTTTTTACGTAGAGAAATGGGGCTGAGTTAGGCTTTCTTGTGGTCTTGAATTTGTTCAACTCGAAAGGAAAGATCTTTGGACCCCAAAAGACCCTTGGCCATTCTCACGTTCTCAACTGCCACTGACGCTTCCCAGCCCTGTACGTCCTGCTGAACATTACGCGTCAATCTGTGGGGGAGTCCCCTCCAGAGCCCAACCAGCGTGGCCCGACTCACGCCGGCGGGAACAGCACATCGCCACGGACCACGTCCGGCGGCGCATCTTTACGTCCTGCCCTTTTCTGGCTTCTCCACTGTACCCCTCGCGGCCACGGCCGCCGAGACTTTTCCGGCAACGGGCTTGGCGGCCACCGATTTGATGAATCCATCACCACCGCTGTGACGCAACCACCATGGTCTTTTGAATGAATCCCAAAAGTCTGGCTCTTCGTGCAAAACATTATCATTATTGAATTTTGCAGGGTCCGACCCTATGTACGTGCAGATGGCCATCATTATTTTGCCGGTTCCACGCCTGTGTGAGAAAGCAGCCCAATATACCTAGTGGCGTCCAACTCTGCCGATATATCCCCAGAAAGATGTACAAGAAGGTGAAGTAAGTTAATTTCGGTATTCAGACACTATCATTACGAGAAGAGAAACTCCTTGAGCACTGGTGATCCAGAAAACTCGGGATTCAACATTATACAACTGCCAATTGTTAGCAACTACCCCAAAGGTTTCTACGGCATATGTAAGTGCAGACGCACTTGAGAAAATATTGTAACCCTGCCCTCCTCTTATCGAGGAAACGGGGTCGGAATTTGGATATCACACTCTTCGGTGGTAAAGGTGGTACTGCCGCTTCGAAATTGGGAAACGTCTTAACCAACTTTTCGCGGAGGTCGTCAAACTCGGAGTATCGCTTGCGGATGTTCATGTAGCTCCCCTACGCACGTTTTGTCAGCAGCTGCGGTCGCGACCTCAGATTGTGCATTTGTTCATGGGGCAAGGAGTATCACTGACTTGCAATGTTTCGACCCTTATATTCCATACAACAAACGCCCCAATATTGGTGGCGCTGCCGTTCACCACGACGTAATCGGTGATCTCGACGCTCTTTGCCCAGCAGGCTTGATTCCGACCATTTACATCGCTCGCTTCGTTATCGTGCATTGTAATCGCGCCGGCGGGCAGTATAGATTCGACCGACATGTTGGAAACAGAGCGCTGGTGGTGGCCGAGCCAGTACGGAGGCGACGTCACTGACGAGGGACTTGTCACGGACGACTCGGTCGGCGACTCTGTCTCTTCCTCTTCATCCTCCTCGTCTCCAAACAATCCGCCTCGTGTGTCGTTGTTGTTCTGGCGCGACAACAACCCTCGAATGGTTCCGTCCGTGGCGACCTTGTGCAAAGGTTTAGCATGGCCGTTTGTGCCGCCGTTGAGGCCGCCGTTCGGTCGGAACTGGGATTCTATCGCCGAGTCCATGAATCCATGTGCGAGGACGCTACCTCATGGACAGCTGTGATGTTGGATTGACGATGCGATGCGCTCAAGACCAGCGAAGGTGCAGGGCGATTGTGACGTATTGATCGTATGACGATATCAGAAGTCTTAGGTCGCTAGACGAACGACCTGTCTCGGGGCGCTTGCTGGACGCCGGTCTGTTAGGGTGGTGCCGCGTGGCTGTGCAAATCGACCAAGAGTGGAATGGCGGCCACTTGGCTAACTGGCGGGCAGACGATAGAATGTTGATGGTAGAGGTAGGCTATTGGTGATGCTACCTTGGGGCGGCAATTAGTCGGCCCGCGAGATGTAATGGGTCTGAATGGTACCTAAGCCGTGAGTTAAGCATAGAAGACTACCTATCAAGCACAATGGGGAGCAAACAATGCGCCAGCTCGCGCAGCTTCGTTGATGAAGGGAAGCGGTTCGCTCTACAGTTGGCAGTACCCTTTAGGCGAGTCTGAATTATTGTTTACAAAATAATGACCTACCTGGCAGCGTCCTGAGGTGGGTGAGATCCATGCGGATAAAGCATGACGATAAGAAAAGCTCCTACCAGCATCCGTACTTTCCTGCGCTTGTTCTTCCCCTCACATCTGATGGTTCGTTCAAGAAAGGAAGGACCCTTCCCATTCGAGACTTCTGCTTGTTAGGCCATAATAACGGGTGCTCCCTTTCCCTAGAAAACAAATCCCTGCGAATACATGAAGAAGGTCCAGATACGGCTCAAATGCGAATAAACGTTGGCAGGCGCCACCAGATGAAAGTGGACCACCCTATCTTATGTACGAACACCTTTCGACTTCGCTCACTTGAGGTACCTACCTATCCGTACCTTACCTTATGAGATGACTGTCCAATACGCGGGAAACTGCTGCAATTCGGAACACCATTCTTCCACTTTCTGGCAAGCTACTCCGCCCCAAACGTTCTCCATCGTGGGATACAGCATATTTTGCTTCATTGCGTTCGTCCCACACACGCATCTGTGATTGGCTCGTTCACGGACCTTTGGGATGGTCGTTTAAGGGTCTCAGGCTCTCAGCAAGGTGATACTGATGTCTCATAAGTCACTGCACTAGAAGGAGGACCGGTTGCTGCGCTTATTAGGAAGAGATCTCCGTGTACACAACATGGCGCATAGAATCCATGGACCACGATCCCGCCTGGTGCGATAATAACAGACCCCTCCCGCGCTATCGACACGTACACTACGCACATCAGACTCCCAAACCTCAACACATCGGTGCGGATACGAAGCGGCAGAACCCAAGCCGCGGTGGAGTTGGAGGGTTCCAGTTGACACCTTTTCACCTAGCGCATCTCGCTAAGCAGGGGGTTCTGGGCTTCGGCTTCCATTTCGATTCTACGCCCTCTCGGTACTTGCAGATTGTACTGCAACGACGAGACGGTTAGACCTCAAACCTCTGACTTCGAAGCCTCATCACATCGTACAAGCAGCATCTAGGAACGCTTGCAATCGCCGACGCCCTGCCAAGTTGACAGGTTCAGTTGTGGCGGTCATTCTCCCATTCTAGACGTCGACCCAGGCAGCCCAATGGCACTTTGAAGGGCATGTTTGCCGTCAACGGTGCGGTCTCAGCGCTCTGCTACAATTTGTCTACAAATAATAGATAAACGCATCAATGCGGAGACGTTGGGGCGCTTGGGATCGTCGTCCCGGAAGAAGGGGTCTCGGAGGCAACAGACAAGACCCGGGCGGAGCCAACCACCTCGATATTCAAGTTGAACCTCCGCTCTCTCAAGTCAGCAAGTCAGCGACTTAGCGCCAGCCATTCCGATTGCACTGTGCCATAGACAAAAAAAGGGTATCAACTTTCAAGTGACCAAGCTGCTCTGGACTGCGCAACCATACTAGCTGCATCGGCTCTCCTGCACAACGGCCTTGGTTGGGGACCACACTCTCTCTTTACCTATGCCGCTAACGAGATCGGGTGTCCATTGTTGCCCGGAGATGAATCTCCTCTCCACAAACTGCAACTTTGTGCCGCGAGAGCCCACTGAAAATCCGTCCAGGGCCCTTTTCCCATCGTTACAACTTACCGCAAGGAACGAGCGGTCTGATTATTCCATCCTATGCTCTGTATCCGTAGTGTGTCCGTAGATGTCAGTACTAGAAGTGAGCAGGGAATAGTCAACTAGCGACAAGCCTTTGCAGCCTTGCCGAGGTTGTGGTGACGACTTCTCTCAACTTTTGGCTCGTTAATTTGCAGCCCCGGACCCGTTTGAGATTGGAAGGCCCGGCCTGTCCGTCCATCGCCATTCGCCATATCTTTGCTGATCCCACGGTAATCCTCCTCTGAAGCTTGCCTGGCTCAATTCCAGCCCCGGCCGCTGCTGGTATTGTGCCAGTTGCCCATGTTTAGGCATTGCATCCAGTCAGCGGCGTCAGCTAGACATTCCTGTGCTCCTTCGTATCCCCACGGTTTGCTAGGCACACTGACGACGACAACTTCGTGTCCATCCGACCTGTCAGCTATTCCTTCAAGTTGTGGCGCCTATCCGTAGGTACGGAGCAGTCGAGAGTCGAGATCGTATTACTCTATATCTGAAAGCAAGCCAGTCGGATTCCCACTTGGGTACGACTTTGCAGGTCGGATGACCAGACCCATTGTTGATTACGAGGTTGCAGAAGACTGGAACTGTCTCGATGCTCTCCATAAAATGCGGCGTGAAAGTTATGGAGCCAAGACCACCTTATTGTGCAGTAAACTTCGCCGCCAAACAGGGCCAACCCCTCTTAACTTTCTCCTTGGCTCTCTGCTAGCACAACTTTACGAGACCACCATCTGCAACATGCACTTTCTCCGAGGCGAGACAGGACTCAGGAGTGGTGAAGTTGTACCTCTCGCCCTGCCGGGAAGCGTCTGGGTGAGTCCGTGGGTTTCTCCCAGCCGCCGGAATTTTTTCTTTCGTGAGGGTCTCGACACCACTTGGTGAGTTCCATGATGTGTACGGAGTATGAAGCACAGCTATCGCTGTTCCCGGCGTCCCACTGGCTGATCGCCACTCGTATTCTGCCTAACAATCATTTTAGTGCCATCGGTGCTGCAGACAGAGTGCAGACTGCAGTGTTGCAGCGGCGCCGACGCAAAAAGCCAATTGCCCCGGGCCATGGAATGAATCCATGGATCCCTGCAGAGAGCGGCATGCTCCCACTGAACCCTTCCTCTGCTAAGCCTCAATATCCACTGAATAGAAACACAAGACCAAGACAGACCACGGGAGAGAGCCGCCACCAGAGTCACCCTCGAAGACGCATTCACACACCACTGCTGTGAACGATATCGACAGTCTACTGCGTACACAGAAGGCTCCTGACTTGCCTGGTTCTGAGGAAAAGACACCCTAGGGCCCCAGAGACAACCACAACAACCATGCCTCCCTACCATTCAAGCGGGTCAATGGCAAGGGCGGCAAGAGACAGACATGCCAGACGGGCTGCGGGCCACGGCTCAGGCTGGGTTCCCCTCACGTTATCAATATCTGCCCATCAGTCACCCGTGATTTTCGGTCAGACAAAAGTGGTGACTCTTCGTTCTAGAAATGGTGGACTGTGGAGAGGCACGCCGGGCTCAGCGCAGCGACCGCGAGTATCCGTACGGAGTACACTACAGAGTACTTGGACCTACGGAGTATTGGGAAGAGGATATTGAAAAGTGAGAAGAAAAAAAGAAAAAGAAAAGAGCCAATGATTCTCCATCTGATCCCCAGGAGCAGGGGAAGTGTTCATCCTGTGATTGGGCACCAGGGGGGGGATACCGATGAACAGACCCCAAACGGACCCTGGCAAATTCTTAGCTCCTTTTCTCGACCCCGGGACCTTTTCTCGAGAAACGGCAGGACCACCACACCATCACGACCACAACCACCAGCAGGAAATACGCCGGGTGGCTGGCGTGGAGAACGTGCTACTGTGTAAACCCAATTCCGCCCGTTTCTCTCCTCGTTCCTCTTCGACAGTCAACCGGCTCCTCTCTATAGACTCCCATGCAAATGCCTGCCTGTGGATTATCGCAAGAGAGCCCCATAACGATGTACCTGGGACCCCGGGTCTCCTTTATATTGTGCCGTACGGGATACCGCGGATACTTTGATGTGGATTTGCGAATAGAAGCTTCCCGACGAGGCCCTGGTCCGAACGAGCATGCTACCACCTCGAATATGTGCTAGTCAACCTTAGTGTCCTCTTGGCAAAAATCGTGCGTCCGGCTCGTCTGCTCCTTCTCGCCTTCCTCCCCACGGCTCTGTGCTCCGGGGCCTCTTTTTTTTTTTTTTTTTTTTTTTTTTTTTTTTTTTGAATATGAACCGTCAACTTCTCTGACGACTTTCATTCCACTTCTGCTCTCCGCCCCTCTCTCCCTTTTCCACCTCACCTCCCTCCCCAATCCCTCCGCGCGTGTCCGTATCGTCTTGTTTCGGTCTGTCGTTACACAGTTGAATATCGTGTCTGCACATATATTCTCATCCAAACCTCTCATCCTCCCCCCGAACTCTTCACACCTCAGTCGCTCCAGCATCACCACTGCCTACATTATACACAAGGCACAAAACAAAACCGAATCTCAGCCTCACCATCGCTACTAGTACTTTCTCGGTCAAACCAAGTCCACTTTCGTTAGCAACGAAAGGGTTCCATTTTATTATTAGTGCGTAAGTCAAAACCGCCCATTCCTCAACGCCTCGTTCATAACTCGCCCCCCTTGTGACCGCCCGCCCCAATCAACCTAAATTGGGCCAAAACGCCATGTGTTGGCCCAAACAGGCGTTGGATAAGTTGCCCCCCCTCGTAGCCTTGGGCTGGCTTGGGGAGACTTTAGGAATGCAGCAAAAAGACTGAAGGGACAGAAAAGGCTGTCCATAAACATACACAAGACGGGTTGCTGACCAGGAAACGCACTGCAGTCGATATTAATATTTGAATCTTGTCGAATCTTTTTTCCTCTTCAACGACAACAAAACAACTTTGTCCGTACATACACCAAACGCATCCCTCTCGACACCGGTTCAGCATACACACATCCCCGCAAATCACAATGCCTTCGTTCAATAGCACCGTCTTCGCCGTTGCTGCGGCCTTTGTCGCCACGGCCCAGGCCGACTACTACGTTGAACCCTCAAGTGTTTCTCTGGCCACAAGAAGTACGGATTTTTGCCCTTACCTTCTCCCCCGAAATTATCTACCTGGGGGTTTTTGATCCGGCAGCATGCTAACGAAAACTTGCAGAGGCCTGGTGCGCCGACGAGAAGAACACATGCCCCATCATCTGCCAGCAAGTCGAGCCCCGGACGACCCTGGTGAACGAATGTGACCCTGTAAGTAGCCAATGGCTTACGGAACAATCCCCAAACCATGGAACACCAGAAAGCTGACCAGACCTCTTCTCCACACAGGAAACCCTTACCTACGGCTGCATCTGCGGCGACAAGAACCAGCCCAACATGACCGAGTACTCCCTCACCCTGCCCTACCACGTCTGCCAGGAGTACGGCAACCAGTGCGTCAAGGCTTGCGGCCTCGGCGCCAACAACTGCGCGTCAAACTGCCGCCAGGACAACCCTTGCGGCGCCCAGAACCCCACCCGCCAGAACTCGACCTCCACCGCCGGCACGGCCACCGCTTCGGCCACCTCCAGCGAGACGAGCGGCGCCATCTACACCGGCCTTGGCGACTCCGGCTCCTCCAGCTCTGGCTCGTCTTCCGGCAGCGGCGCCGCGGCTCTGGAAATGGGTCGCAGCGCTGGGCTGGCTATCCTCGTCGGTAGCTTGATTGGCGGTGCTGCTCTCCTGCTTTAAGTGTGAGTACGATGTCCAACGAAGTTTAGGACGAAAGATAGGAAAAAGGAGGAAAGAAGTAGGAGAATAGCGATCGGGGAACTGTCGTGTGTTGCCGTGTGTTCTGTCTCGTCCGCTCTTTTGAATACCCTCTTGCACAAAGTTTTTATCACATGCTCGGCGTTTATGGGCGAGGTGTTTGAATCATGGGCCTCTGGATCAACCAAACAAATAATGTCTTTTTAATATTTTCGGACAGAACACACAAGCAATGGAGCGGGATGATCAGGGTCGGGTAAACTGTCTCTAGCGTTTTACGTCATCTTTCACGGGGGCAGAGAAGTAGCAAAAAAAAAAAAAAAAGATTGAAAAGAAAGAATGGAATCAGAAGCGAAGAAGCAGTTGAGCTTCATGAACAACAAAGCATGTCCCGTCACCCATTTCGATATCTTGATTGTCATCCCCACTCGCTAGCGTTGCCTGACGCCTCTGGTGAACAGCCCATGAATCCATCAGGTCTTGTCTGATAGCTGAGCACGAGACCATTCACCCTGTTCATTCCGTCCGAGGATCGTTCCCGTGATGTGGATTGGGCTAGATTGCAAGAAACATCAGATTGGTCTGCATAGGCTAGCTATCACCGCTAGCAAGAGGCTCGGGATGGAGAACAGCAATATGCGAGCCATGGTGAGGGCAACATCGGGAATGTACTGGTGCAATTGCATCGCGGGCACCAATCAGAGTCATACAAACTCTACACACATGTTCCGACCACCAGTGTGCGGGATTATCGACAAAACACACAAGTCAGACAGGTAACCAGTAAGGCGCCGTTCAGCCGGCCTGTGCCACATGCAAGTCTGATGCCGCCATACATACCGGGGCGGGGGTCACGGGGGACCAGCATTCGGTAAGGCGAGGGCAGGGCTAGGCCGGCCCCGATCTCGACGGCCTCGATCTGAGGCTGAAGCTACATGGAGCTGGTCGAGGAGAAGACGAGGGAGGGTTCCTCACATGTCATCGTGCAGGAGTTTCGACCAGCCTTCTAGACAAATAGTGAGCGGGCTGCCCAGTGGGATTCCTTGGGGGCCGATAACCAGACGATCAGACACCAAGTTCAGTCAACATCGGCCGGTGCGACTTCACGTCCTGGCGGGGAAAGTTTATGTGGAGGCGGGCGGGCGGGTTCGGTGTGTTGGTGAGCAGGGCCCGGTGCTACCTCGCCGATGTGCGCCGTAACTCTTCCTGGGGCAGCTCCAGAATCCAGAGTCCAGACGGAACGGAGGTTGGTCTCTCACATGCTAATTACCAGTCAATGCGCGTAGGACGTCGAAACTAAGGTAGGCAAAGTGGGTAGTATCGAGTGCTTGGGTTCCAGAGTCGACTGGTCCAGCGACGGAACAGTAAAGCCTGCATCGATTCGACGTCTGGAGGCGGATTTAGGGCCGTTGGAGGAGCCCCCGGATGGTGAATCAATGATATCGATCCAATGGTGTGCAAGGAAGGCGTGGTAAAAAGGCGGTAAACGCGAGGAGAATCCCTGCGTGACCAGGCGTTGATTGGATGTTTCTGTCTCGGGGCCTTTGTGAGCGAAGAAACGGGTGAGGAGCTTGGGGCGTTTGGGAGCTGGTGTGTTTTAATAGGGTCCTCTTGAGAATTTTGTTGAACGCCGAGATGGGCGGAGCCGTATGAGCGCAAGTCGGTCGAAGTGGTGCGCTCGTCGCAGTCCGTCAGAGCTCCGATTTGTGCGTGTCGAGATGGGGTGGTCGGTCGCCCTGACCACTACCACTGCCACCCATGTGATTTGCTGCAGGGGAAATATGGCGAGAGGACGTGTATGTCTCGCAATTGGGTGCACTGTGGCTGCTGTAAAAGATGGTGTAAATGGTGTAGGGAATAGTCGAATTGAAAGCGGCGATGGATGACGATGGTAGAGGTGTAGTTGAATGCGTCTTGGAGAATGGAAGGAGAAGACTGTGGTGGGATCACGAGCTTCCCTTCCCGGAGACTTGGGGTACGTATCCGCCGACGTGCTTCTTCCTGCTGCGGCGGTGGGCTGGAGAGACCTTGACTGACGCACGTCGACGGCCGCGTACCTACGGCAAACCGAGCCTCCCTCCTTCCGCCCCTCGCCCCGGCGCGCCCCAGGCCTCTGGACAAAGTTGAGGTGCATCTGATTTGTTCCCGAAAGAGAAGCTTGTGCCTGCGCTGCGTGCCATTTGCTGCTGGTCGCAACCGCAAATCCACTTCATCTGCCTGACCCCGGCCACTTTTCACCCCTAATAGAAAAAAAGGATTAAAAAAAAAAAGAGAGAGAGAAAGAGGGAGACCTGGACGGGAGCCAACGGCACGGCCTGCCTTATGATGCGAACTCAATAAGGTGCGCACACCTTCGATCCGAAGTCTCAAGTCTTTCCTTGCTGCACTTGCACTGCACGTCAACTTGCGGTGGAAGCCGAGCATCCTCTTGTGCCTTCTCCATTTACCTTTGGCCCTCTTCTTAATACCTCCTCCATCCCCCTCCTTTCCCCACGGCCGTTGTTACATCCCACTCTCTTGCCTCTGGCACTTCTCAACCTTTCCCCTCCACCTCTTTCCCCCCGCCGCACCCTGAGATTCCAGAACCATTTTGTGTCTCTGACGCAATTCCTCACAGCCATGGGCGCCGCAACTTCAGACAGTAAGCACGAACCCTCTTCCCCAATGACATGCTCAAGTGCTAGGGCACCTGGATGGCCTCGGCGTCGCCTGCGAAGTGCGCGTATGCAATTGATGGCGAGAGAGCTTCTAGGAGCTATGGTGGAACTCCAAACATGCTAACATCCATCCTACAGGGACGGCCGCCGCCGAATGCATCTCGGACGATGCCCTCATCCACCTCAAGTCCTACAAGTACTCGGCCGTCGACAAGTCGCCCATCTCCAACTATATCCTCCGACCCTACGTGCGTAGCCCTTCCGACCACCTCCCCCTCCCACCCGCCGCTGCCCCGCGCCGTCCGAGCGGCCTCGACCTCAGCATTTCCCCAACACCTTGCTAACCAAGCCTCCTTGTAGTGGAATGCTGCCGTTGAGCTGCTGCCGCTATGGCTGGCACCGAATATGGTCACCTTGCTGGGCTTCTTCATGATCCTCGGAAACATTGGCCTGCTGGTCATTTTCATGCCTGACTTGGTTGGACCGGTAAGTCAAGCTGGAGTTCCAGAGCAGATGTGCGCTGGTCAGGACACTCGGCTAATACACGTGTCAACAGGGCCCTTCATGGCTATACTACAGCTTTGCTTTCGGTCTCTTCATGTACCAGACGATGGACAACCTCGACGGCAAGCAAGCGCGACGCACCGGAACATCGAGTGGACTTGGCGAGCTCTTCGACCACGGCATTGACTCTTTGAACTGCACCCTGGCAAGTCTTCTCGAGACTGCCGCCATGGGCCTCGGCACTTCCAAGTCTGGCGTCTTCACGGCTCTCGTCCCGTGCCTGCCCATGTTCTTCTCGACTTGGGAGACATACCACACCCACACTCTGTACCTGGGCAGGATCAACGGCCCAACCGAGGGTATCCTGATCGCCTGCAGCGTCATGGTCGTCTCTGGAATCTACGGCCCCGGCATCTGGACCGAGCCCATCATCAACATCCTCGGCGACAAGGCTGAGCAGCACCTCTATGGCTTCCACTACCTGCTGGGAGACTACTCGATCCGGGACATCTGGATTGCTATGATCGTTTTCTCACTCTTTGCGACCCACATTCCCTTCTGTGTCCTCCACGTTATTCAGGCCCGTCGCTCGCGCGGTGAGCCCGTAGCCCCTGTTTTCCTCGAGTGGACGCCCATGACAGTGTACACCCTCGCTATTGGCGCCTGGGTCTACTCGCCGTACTCGGCCATTCGCAGCGACAACCACCTTGTTCTCTTTTGCGTAACCATGGCCTTCGTGTTCGGTCGCTTGACTACGAAGATGATTCTTGCCCACCTCACCAAGCAGCCTTTCCCTTACTGGACCGTCATGCTTGTGCCCCTTGTCGGTGGTGCCGCGCTCGCCAACCTTCCGCGTCTGGGCCTCCCGGGCATCAGTGCTCAGACTGAGCTGTACTACCTGTACGGCTACTTTGTCTTCTCGGCCGTCGTCTACTTTCGCTGGGCATACCTGGTCATCACGAGCATTTGCAATTTCCTCGGCATCAATGCTCTGACTATTCCGAAGGAGAAGCAGCTCGCAAACAAGCAGGCAATTGCTGCCGCCAAGGCACCACCTCTGACCAATGGTCTGATGAACGGCATGAAGAAGGACTAGATCGGGGCAGCTTGAGGTGGCGGGGCATCGGTCCAAGATTTTTAACACCACAACAACGAGCAAGTATTCCAGGATGGCGAGGGGTCATAGTAGCGACGTTGCGATGGAGTGAAATGACGGATTTCGAGTAAATGAATTACAGCAAGCCTGATTGCGGCTTTGATGGAAAGGCGCGCTTTTTTTTCGCATGGATGTCGGCGTTGCTGGAGGCTGATCCACTTTCAACATGGCATGCTTATTACTGGCGCTTTTTGGGTGAGCAAAACCATGGAAACCGGCCTAGCTCGATTGAGCTATAGGAACTTTTCTAGTATAAGGACGTAAGCAGTCCGTTGCATAATATCAACTTCAACTTAGTACATGCTGATTGGCTTTTCATTGGGCAAAAGGTGATCGTGGAGAGTCGAACCTTGGACCTATTTCTGTTATAGGAACGGACAGTATTGAACATCTTTCACTGGTCACTTGTCTTCGTTCTGCATTATGACGATATCACTTGTGATCAGATATACAATGCGGTTGAACTCATCCCTAGTCTATTTGTGATCTCAATAGGGTTCGATTCTTGGAGTTCCATCTACACTTGGACCTCAGTGAATGGAGCTGAAGTTAAGAGGTATCTGATGGAATGAATGGTGACTTCTCTACTTTCTGCCCTTTGTATAAAATTATCGTCTTGAAAGATGGACCTGTTTTTTTGTTCAGTGTGCTTGTTCCATGCGGGATCGCCCGATTGTCTGCGTGTGAAGCACCTAATGTGCACATGAAGGGTGAACCAAGGATCATGCTGATGTGAGACCTCCAGGACATAGCTCAAGAGGCATGCTTACCATGAGGGTAAGTCGGCCACAGCTTTCATATCGGTTACGCTTTCTCAGCGATACCGTATTTCACTGCGGATACGTCCGCCACGACGAACAATGAGGCCCACTATCAAGTGTCTTTTGCCTCATATCCTCTTTGTCATAGTTTTTGCTTTAGAGAGAACCTGGGAGTACCCGACGAAGTGAGTTGGCAGACATGGCCACTACCTTCACCCCAGACTCTCGACTACCTTCTACCGCTGGTGTCTGGTAGGCATCCACGGCCATCGCCGTCATGTGTCGAAGTGGACGTTGTTTGACACTTGAGAGGTTTTCATAAGAAATGTTGAAGTGACTGGTAGTAGACTGCTCACGTTCTAAGGAGAAGGGGGGGCGGTGAATATCTTAGTGACTGCTTATTTAAATGGGCAGTTTGTGAGCACTATCTGAGCACATCAGACCGTTGGTAGATGACGTGCTTGGTGGTGAATGCTGATGCAGCATGGCAGCGGCGGTCTCAATCGAGCCAAAGTCATACTAGGTCATCTCATGCTTAGTGGTAAACTTCAAGACAGCCTCATTTTTTATCATCACGCTCCATGAATAGTGCCGTATTAAAGTGCGAATACGTTCGTGATTCGAAGTCGTGAGTGTGGATAGTGGACTTTAGCATGGTCTAGATTGTTACGTCAAAATTGCTTGCGATCAATAGCATTAGAGAAGGAAAGGGGTTCACTGGCTCAAGATACAGCTTGCTTATGGATAGTTAGCACAAGCAAGGGAAGGACTTACGAAACACTTGGCTGTGATACTGCGCTGAAAGAAACGTGAGGCTGGGGAGCCCTTCACACTCTTTGATGGTTGTCCAAGGATGTTTGCGCACCGGATCGCCCCAGCGATCTTCAGGCAGCAGGAAGTCTGGATTAATTGTTACTGAGCTGAAGTACTTGCATCTAAGTACACTTAAGTACACTTCAGCTCTCTCCCCAATTATTCTACTTGGAGCTGAAGTTGAGGCAGGCTATGCCTCGCTATCAGCTGTTAGCAACACGCTAGGTAATTGCCTATTAGAAGAGTGTTGCTTCCGATTACCGACCTCACTTGCATCTTCTGTTTTCTGTACAATCCACTGCTGCTTGCTCTTCTAAGGCTCTTAAGACATTGTTTCCGTAACACTCATCTCCTTTCTTTTCAACGTACCTGCATAATGGAAAAGGTTTGGTTCAAGCTTCGTCAAACATTCTACGCGCCTCCAGAAATAGAGTCAATGGGTACGGGGAAAGAGACAGCCCCGCTGTGTCTGGGTCACATCGTTCCTGAACTGCGCCGCCTCGACTTTCCCATCAAATAGACATCGAACCGTTTCCCCAGAACATGCCCGTCTACTCCACAAACGCTCTGACATTTTCGTGGGAACACGGGCGGGCTGTCGAGTACGGCGGTGTGCTCGGCGTGGGCGCTCCCGTCTTGGCTGCTGCGGGGGTACAGGTCACGGCCAAGGCGGATGTGAAGACCATCTTCAGGGCTTCTGTCTCCAACTGCGAGAAGTACGAGAGGCTTGATACGTATTTGGTTCAGGTCACCAAGGCGTACATTGCAGATTGCTTGGAGAGAGACACGGTGGCAAAGTATGTGGAGGATAGTTCGAGCCTGGGGGCCTGGTCCGCATTTGTCATAACTGGGCTGAAGATTGCGTGGGCGGGCTCAAGGTCGACTTCTTCGTCTCATGGGATTGGATATGGTTTTGGTGTTAAAGCGTAAGTTATTTACATATGCTATGGGAACGAGGCAGTAACTTATGTGGACCGCAGGGGATTGCCAACTGTTGCCTCTGTCCGGGCCGAACCCAGCGTGGCACGCAGCAAGATATGACCACGGCGGCCGAAAAGCAGTCTGACTTTGTCTGGTCAATACGACTTGCCAAGGTCCACAAGGGCATTCTGATGAAAGACTGGTCTGTCGGCCCATACACGAAGAAAGAGACGTTCAACAACCGTGAAGATGAGATTGATGTTGAGCGAATCGTCTCAGCTGAGGGTCTGACGCCTACAGGTATACTAGAGGACGAAGTGAATGATGAGGCATTCGTTGCACTGCCCGAGCAGAATCAGTCGTAAGAGAATTGGGGCGTAATTTCATGCATCAGAATGTATTGTTCGCGCCTATTAATGAGCACGAGTGACAAAGCAAATAACCCGGATCTGCCACACCCTCCTAACCCCTCATCATCAACCAGAATGAGAACTCGTATAACCCGGCCATCTTCATTCTACGTGTGCGAGTGCGTCACAGAGGAAACGTCGAACACGAGCCCTACTATCTGCCAGATCTGGCAAATCAGGGCCTGGAGGCAGCAAGAGTCTCGGCTGAACAGTCGTATCCTGTACTCTTCCTGACCAGACTCCTGAAGATAGCCGTCATTCCCGCCTTTGACTGAACCATCCATGCCTCATCGATCACGTTTTCACTCTCAGCGTGCCGCACAAAGTCGAGTATTCGCGCCGCCATCCCTGCTGCAAGCGCAGTCGCGGCGGATGTCCCACTCACGGGTTCAGGATGGGGTGGTAGGTTGATATGTTGTCCAAGCAAGGCAAAGTTGTCGGCTGCCCGGCGTGGCTCAGGGTTGATCTCCGGGACAATTTCCAGAGCACCAGTTGTAGCAAATATGCAAAAGGCGTGATCCTTGATGCGAGCTGGAAAGGGGACTGAGTTCGTGTTGCCCCAGTTGGAAGCTGCAGCGAATATAAGTATGTTGGCGGCATGTGCGGCGTGGACGGCGGTTCTAAGGGGCTTCGGGCAGGTAGCGAAGCCGGCTGAGATGCTGATGATGTCGACTTTCTCTTTGATGGTCCACTTGATGGCCTAGAGTAATATGAGCATGATACATCGAGAATGATGGGTACGAATTCACCTCGGCCATCAAGTACGGCTCCTTCTTCTCATCCGCCTGGTCGTTTTCAAACACCCTTGCGACCACTATCTCGGCCTTGTCGTACATCTTGTAGATGAGATCCACAGACTGCGTACCATGTTGTGACGTCTCTGGATTGATACGCTGGTTGGAGTTGTGGTTACCCGTTTGGACAAAATCTTTGCAAACTAGGTTCCGACTTGGATCAACACCGGTGTCTATCACGGCTATACGGATAGGCTTGTACTGGTCATTGTTCTCGGACAAGCTCTTTGGTGTCCGTAGGACATTTTCGACGGCTTCCCAGTCTCGAAACCACCTTGACGAAGACGCGAGACCCTGCCTATAGATCTCATGTCTCTATCAGCCATTTTGTACCGCGATGGACTATTCGGAATAGGATATTCGCGTTTGGAGCGGGAGAGGGCGAGAGAAAGAGGGAGAGAGAGAGAGAGAGAGAAAGATGAAGGGAGTGAAAGAGGAAGGGGGCGGGAGAGTGAGAGAGACAGAGGTAGGGACCGAGGGAAGGAGGGATGGAAAGGGCGGGAGGGCTTACCTTGCGGCGGCTATTCCTGCTTGTATGTGGTCTGGGGCTTTCAATAGAGTCCGCAATGTGTGCTTCTCCTTGTTGGAATCTAATAGATCGTTCCACTCCATGCGCGTCATCGGAGAACGCCCTATATCATCATATTGTAGATGCCAGAATGTTTGCTGTGGAATGCCATAGGGTGGTCCCTGTCCTAGAACTTCCAGGAATGACAGGGGCACTATCAGTTGTCAGATTGAGATGCAATCGATCACATCCGAAGACACCGGGTAGAAGCACGTACCTGAAGAGAGAGAAAACTGCTGCGGGATCGTCTGCGAGATAATAAGATGCGGAATTCGTTAGCTTTGTTCATCTGCACTGGCGTCTGCACAAGGACCTCCGTAGCCTTGACTGCGGAGGAGCCTCTGAGAACTGACATTCTCTAGTAGAGAATGACTTCAGTAGCCCTTGAACGGGTGTTTGGAACACAATTTTCTCGCCAGAAACCGGGCCTTGAATGCTCTGTTCAATCAACATCTCCTTCATACGTTCGATGCAATCGGTAAACTCAATCGCTGCTGATCACAGTGTCAGATTCAAGAGTGTGAGATATCGCAGCTGGTTCACCTACCCTCCTTCTGCCTGAACCTAAACATCACCTCTGTGCACTGAATCGCCTTCTGTGAACCGTCCTCGGAACATTCCACATCTTCAAGAGTGACTTGAAGGCCGTTCTGTGAAAGTTTGACTACTGTATCCCTGTAGACTTCATCCGATGTCAATGTTAGCCATGTACGCTGCTCCATCAGATTGACTCACCTTTGACTGTGTAGCTCTGGGAGGCTGGATTGATCCGGTCAAAGAATGATAGGCTGTCACTGACGAAAATGAGGAAATAGCTCTCTGCAGTGAATGATGAGTGACAACTAGAGCCAAAATCTGCGTCAATTGACTTCTTGAAGGCGTTGGAGCGATAGTGTAGAAGCTGTAGATATACCGGCTTCCACGGCAAATCGAATGACTTCGTTCCCAACATAAACTTAACGCTGGAAAGGCTTTGTATATATCTGTTGGCATACCTGAGGTATTATTCTGATATCAGCTTCGACACATCCTCAAGCTGACAAGACTAAGTTGGCAAACGTCGGATGAAGCGTGGAAACTTACGCTCGTGTACTTAGAACAGATATGCTGTCGGGAGAAGCTCGAAGATACCCAGCAGTAGTGGAGGTCCGTTCCATGTTGTTACCTAGTCCAAGATGAGCACGAGCCAGTCGACTCCACAGCTCGTGAACAGCGGCGTAGTCTTTGCGACGTTGGGCACACAAGTAAGTTTCTAAAATTACCTGAAGTAGATCGAGATATAATAATGAAAACATACCTTGGTAACTCCTCTGGTCGAGAGTGAGGCGGACTGATACGAAGTGACTGCGGGAATCAATCGCAATCATGTGCCAAACCCCGTACAGGCCTTTTCTGACCTCTTGAATTGGAAGACCTCGGTAGGAACGCACTGGGTAATACCGTTAGTTGGCCTTGCAGGAACTTGTATCAATACTGGAGTTGAACTTACGTTTAAACTTCAACGATTGAGTGTGGTCGGCATTCTCGCAATGACATTTAAATTCCACATCGAGGACATGTTCAGTCATGATTTCTGGTATGACTTGCGCTCTCAAGCAGATGATGTCATGAGGGAATATGTCCTCACTCATCGGACTGCTCCTTGTAGGGGATGCCAGGTCATGTATACTCACCTGATACAACCCAGCAATCCTGTCGAGCCTTGGATGTGACAAGGAGGAGGAACCAACCTTGCCATACCTTGGATCCCTTTCAGGGTTCTCAGTAGAAGTGAAGTCGGGGAGGATCTCTTGGTCCAACAACCACATGCCGAAGGTTTCTTTCATGTAGCGATATAAAGCCATTAACTTACAACTTAGACTCAAGGGATTGCGCTAGGAGAGCGACCTTGTTTGTGTCGACAGAAAGCTCAAAGAACGCATTATCGACGAATTCGATGAAAGCTTCCTTCGATTCAGGTTGCGTTGCAGCTCGGATTCGGTCCAAACTGGTCCGACGAAGGACCTCATCAACAGAATCCTGTAATTTGGAAAGAGGCTGAAGGCATTGCGAAAGAACCTGGCCAACTGATTCCAAGCTACCAGAGGAGCCTTCGCGAATATTCGGGAACGCCCACGTTGCACTCAAATCCAGCGAGCCGATACGGCGCGATGCATCGTCAAGCCGATACAAATCCTGCTCAAAGCTGTACGTATCGGTGCCTATGATTCTTCTCAGCGGTATCAATCTCGACAGCAAAGCTTGAGACTTGGACGTCAACTCGAGAATACTGGTGGAAAGACCCTCGTGGTCCATGTCACTCATGATTCCGGGCCTACAGTTTCGCTCCCATGATGACCAGGCTCCTTGCTGTCTGCAGGCTTCCGGGTGATTTGATTTGTGTGCAATTTTGTGGTGAAACTTCTGTTCAGTGCATGCTCGGACATGGCTATACTGCCAGCAATTCGTAATCAGGCTACAACCTTGGCACATGAATTCGATCATGCGAACTTGGGGTCGGACACCATGTCACCTTGTTCAGCTGAGCTTACTGCATCAACCACTACCAATTGCAGGGCTTGGTGTGTGTAGCTTGCTTCTCCGAGCGTCGGATCCCAAATTATTACCTGCGGGATTGCATGGCAGATAGGTTTGATGCTTTTTGTGTCAGCATGCTTCGGTTGACTTATCTTGGCAGGATTCGATGCAATGGTTAAGGTGGTGTGTCAAAATGTGTCTCGACACTTTCGACATGAATGCTGACATTCAGCCCTCCTTTTCCTCCTTCAATACCTTCTCATCCAAACCACGGAAACAACTCATGATATCAAGACTATTCCGTTGTTGCCGCCATGCCTCGATTCCACATCGAAAGAATACCGCCTGGCATCCACTATACAAGGGATTCAACCTCTCAATTCCACTCCAAGGAGACAACGTCTCATATTCCTCCACAAACTCTGATCTTCACACCGTCAGTCAGGGTAGACCTGGGCCCAGAGGACGGTGGGAAAACGGCGACTGGTATGACTACGCCCCCCCCCCTTTTCGAACCCGCGTCAAATCGCGAACGGAGCGCGTTTCCTGCTTCTCACACACGTGATCTCAACCTGGCAAGCGCGTCAAATGGGTTTTCGCCCGTCGCGAAGCATCATCCATTTCATGAGACCGTTAGTAATAGCTTATCCCATCGACCGCTAGATGTTGTCAACACAAACGTACGTACTTTTACGAGGGGTAATCAATCTGACCCTATTCCCCTTGTTTTCGCTTATGAATCATCTCGAAATGAGGCAAAACTGAAGAAAGACCCGAGACGGCTGTACTGACGCCATCAGTAGTTGGTGGGATACCGCTCTGGGCATTTTATCAACCGCAGATCCCTCCAGAGCCTACTTTGTACGCAGATTCTGATACGTCGAATGATTGTCTTCCTCTCCTTAATATAGACGTCCAGGTTACTATGGGCTGCACTGTCGCATGAACAAAGCTGTTTCAACGGTTTAGCAATCCGTCGAAGCAATAAATACCGGAAGCGCGATATACCTTTCCCCTGTATGATGGCTCCGTAGTCATAGCCTTTTTCTGCACTATCGGCGACGGAATAGAACTAATAGGCACAGTGCAGGAGAACACAAAGGCGGCCGAGGGGTTCAAGAAGGCTGTAGAGAAGCAGAAAATGGTGGCTTTGTTCGAGGAGCACACGCCCAAGATCTTCGAGATGATTATTGGCAACGTTCCTGCCGAAAATATTGCAATCCAGATTGAGTATGTCTGCGAGATCAAAGCAATCGTCCTCGACGATGGCAAAGATGTTTTGGGACTCATAATCCCAATGTCACTTGCGCCACGATATGGAGCCATGGTATACATACCATGGACTGCAGACAAAAGCTGAATCAGATGGTCTTTCGATTGAGGTCAGGATTGAAGACAGAGGCAGGATCAAGCAAGTGTATTGCAACCATCTAGCCGACTTTATGAAGGATGCTCCGATGGACGTTGTCAAAGTCGCCAGTCTCTTTGACCTTAACAAAAACATTGGGGAGGTCCGTACAACCGTCTCACCAGCCCCAACTTATACCGTAGTGAAATACTCCACGGAAACAGCAATCATGGACGAAGATTTCATCGTGTCCATCGAAAGCAGTCTGAGCTACCCGGTTCGTGCCCGGGCCACTTTGTCACCGCCAAATGAAGATGGCCTGGCAGCTCTCATGATCAACCTGAAGCCTGCAGAAGTGTTCGAGGATGCCAGTCATCTGGAAAGTTTCGATGGGGAGATCATCTTCCTCCTCGACCGCAGTGGATCAATGGACTTGGGTACACCCTGGAGCAAGAGAACCAACATGTCGACTTTAAGAGACTCGATGCCGCTCTCCCTTGCTAGCTTACCAACGACATGTCATCTTAATATTGTGTCGTTCGGACATAACGCCGAGTTCCTGTGGGAAAGATCGCAGCCGTACAATCAGAACACCCTCGACGATACCAGGAGTTATGTCCGTGGCCTGGAAGCGAACTTGGGCGGCACAGAATTGCTCCATGCATTGAGAAAAGTGGTCGAATCGAGAAGGCACACATCGTCATCAACACAGATCGTCATTGTAACTGACGGAGAGATCGCACCGGAGGAGGTCCTCACATTTGTCTGGGAAACTCGCCAAAAGCTGGGGAAAAGTGGCAGGTCCTTCGTTCTGGGTATTGGCGAGAGAGTTCCCCATCGCATCATCAACAGGATTAGCGAGCTTGGAGGAGGCTATGGAGAGGTTAGCGACATCGACGCCAACCCCGAGTGGACCAATAGGCGCAGTCTCATGCTTACATATGGACTCATTCCCAAGACATGGACCTGTGAGGTTAACCTGGGTCCTGGTTTTACCAGACAGGACCTCTACACCGATGGATTTATGGATAAGCATACTGGAACGGAGGTCAAAGACGTTCGAGCTGCTTCTTTTGTTCAACCTCCTTTTCCAACGCCATGCTTGAATCCTTTTGCATTCTCATCAGTCTTCCTCTTGCTGGATCTACGCTTAAGGGCCGCCTCAACTAAGGTCACATTGAGGGCAGCCTCTCATGGTGGAGACATTGAGTTAAAGCATAAGCTCAACATCGACAAAACGTCGAATGACACATCTAAGGTCCAGCACCTTGCAGTCCGGGCAAGTCTACTTGGTTTGGAAGCTCAACTGAGCCACCGAGTTGCAAACCGAGTTCAGGAAGACACTGCCAAGATGAACGCTGTGTTACTTGGGAACAAGTTCAAAGTCGCGAGCCGATGGACAAGTCTTGTTGCTTTTCAGGGCTCAGAGGAAATGGCCGATTAGGTCGAGCTAAACAAAGCGAATATCATTCAAGGAGCAGTGAATGATTCACTTGAGCGCATCGTGGCAAGCCGCAAGTACACAACCGGACACTCCGTACGGTCCCATCAAGATGTTTTGGTCAATCACGAGGATTGCCGAAACACTCATGGTTGTCTACCTTTTGCGTACATACTTAGCGCAGAAGCGCGAGGTTTGGAGAATGATGGCCTCCAAAGCCATATCAGCGGTGCCCGCGATACTAAGGTCAATGAATGAAGACGAAGTGAAAAAGCCGGGGTCGCTGTAAAGATTCCTTGTCGCTTCTTCCATGCATTCGTATGATGGGAAGTGCGCAGAGTTCAATACGATGGTGAGCGGTTTGCAGGTCTGTCCCTTTTGGCTAGCAGACGAACGTTGTACGAAGTGCCCTTACAGTCGTAAGAAAGGGCAGTCCGAGGGTACAGGCTATGGAACAAGCAGTGGTGGTCCCGATGGAGCCAGTGCACACCTTTATTGTGCCAAGGTTGGTTGTAGCTTCATGGTCGAAGGGTTAGAAAGTTTTGATCAGCTATGGACGCACAAGGTTGACGAAGGGCATCTGGATGGGACACCCACCTTTGCGGTACAATGAGAAGCGCATGTTTGGGATACTATTTCCAAGTACCTCGCTAGCAAACAAATCTCGGTTTTGCTCCAATGCCCACTTGGAGAGATTTCATATGACCTCATGCACGAGATGTAGTTTTCGCTCATGCTCTTCAAGAACAATCAGTTGTTAATCAATTACGATCGACTGCGTCGTGCACAGCTATTCAAAATAGCTCACGAGACTCGATATGCGTACCCGAAACTAAATTATTTCCTAATAAGCCAGCGATACATAGAAAAGATTACTACACAAATTTGAAAGAATCCCATTCCCTCAATTGTGGAAATAACCCCAACATGCGACAGAGCGCATACAGTGAGTTCGACATCGTAGTCCCCGATCCCACCAGCCTCACGTCGCAGCTCAATTCGCGTTCCGAACAGCCAGCTGCCACTTGTTTCCATGAATTCAAAGCCTCCCTACTCAATGTAAGCGGCCATGTCGCTATCACGGTAAACAACGGCGAGTCTTTCTGAACGCGGTATCCGAGGACGAATCCCTCACCGGCGCCTGGGGCCCATATCTCCATCGTCCTAAGTAATGGCATGCGCAAAGTTGCCCGGCTCGCCTTGAGAAGCAGGCGTTCCGGCGCTGACGGGCTGGATACCAGGTCTCCAATACATGTCGTCAGGGCTAGGTAATTACCTAAGGGCTGGCCAGGTACGAAGACTCTGTGAATGCTCAAAAGTATTCTCCGGTATATCCCTTGACGAATGCTGAAAAAAGTCTCTGGCATCGACTGCGTGACAGAGAGTCAAGCACCGAAGACGATAGCTTGCATTGGCTGCTGCAGAGACAAGGCCGTCATTGCAAACCCTAAGAAAACGTGGATTTCCATTCAGTGGAGACTGCGCTTCCCAAATATGTACTGATTTCATCGTCACACTTTTGCTTGCACGGTCAAGTAGCACAATCATCGCCTTATCGCAGGGGGATTGGCTGGTTTGAGTAATCGCGTGCCATAGCTCGTAGCCGATGGTCTTGAGGCGGCAAAGACAACGGAGACATATTGCAAGTAATGCCTTCGACAGCCTTCTGTAGCAATGTTAATTTACGAAAAGCCTCCTGACGGCGGGCACCTGAGCAAGCTTAAGAGAGTCAGAGCTGACGTTCAGTAAGTTGCCAAGAAGACGCCATTTCGAGTTTGAGGAATACATACGGCTCCGATCATGTTGACTTGCGTTGGTGCGATGGTTCCCAGGGCAGGGCGCTCTGAATCGCTCGGAGAGCTGGCGCTCAACCTTAATTTAACGCCATTCTTAGCCGTAGACTATGCTGAAAGAGAAACGAATGACTTTTTCAGCGCCTGGCTGAAGATCTTGTTATTCGTTTGAATCATGTCTTGCGTTTCTCGTTCGTCAAACTTGTTGACATGATCGTATGCTTGAAAGCTGATGTGAAATTGGATCTCCTTGACGAGATCTCTTCGAGGACCGTGGAGAAAAGAGCTCAAAAGATCAATGTCGGAACCACGAAACTGGAGCTTCACGTGTTGGAAAATTTGCGATTCGAAGAAGGCCTGTCATTCCCTTGAGATGCTTGCCCAGTTCGACAAACCATGCCCCTTTTCCCCCTTCTCAGCTTGCTCCAGAATCAACAGTCGAATCTCCGCAGGCAAGGCTGCAAGGTGGTTGTTGACATCGTCAGACGAGAACATGATTCCTGAGCGTAGCTTCATTTTACAGCTGGTTTGGTCAAAGAGAGTCCGGGTTGTTGAGTTATGGGATGCTGAAAGTGACAAGAAGTAGCGATAATAGACTCATATGTGGCGGGTAGCCTGGCCTTGAGATTTAGTTGGACATGGATTCTTTCTCCGAAAAACAAATGCGGAGAGGCAAACTTAGTTGCCAGGGTTGCGCGTTGGGAGGGAGAGTTTATCATCCCATGAAAATCAATCAGAAGAGACGTGGTTCGAAGTCGTGAGACTGCTGAGGCATTCAGGCGCATTCTCATGTTCACTACATGGACTCTTGCCCGAGATATGAGCTTATCAAGACGAGAGTTAGAGCCCTTGATCTTTAGAAGTATTTACTTAATCAAACCCCCACCCCAGCCACCTTTGTTGGGCGGTTCTTTTGTCACACAAGACAGCTGTGAGTTTTACTATATTTCCTTGAAGAGGAAATGAATATATTTTGCCGAGACACATGAATCTCAACCGGTCTTGAGGGTTCTATTGCATGGTCACCAAGAGCCGTTCCAATTATTCATGTAGACATACAGTTCCCTGACAGATTCAAGTGCTGGACATCAAATCTTACAAGACGCCGAGGCCTGTAGATGGATTCAAAGATGGATGGCGATGAGGCCGAATGTTTCGTCGGATCAAGAAATCAAATATGAACGGTTTGGGAGGGTTCAGAGAATCAGTGATAGTGGCGTGTTGAGACAAAACCTTCTAAAGTTGAAGCTTTGTTCAGTAGTTGATTGATGTCGAAAATAATGCTTCATCAGGAGTTTACTCATTGAGACAATTCCAGTGTATTGTTGAGACGTAGTTTGGAATGACTTCATGGCCAAAGAGTTAACCAGTAGTTGCGGATTAGAGGCTGCGACGTATTGGAACCTTCATCGGCATGACGACTTAGTCAAAACAGTGGACAGGTCAAACGAAATTCTGTTAATTGAAATCTCCAGGCCAGATCAAGTGCTTTGCGCGGTTTCCTAATTGAACTGAAACAAGCACATCTAAAATAAAGGAACAAGTAATCGGAATGTTTACTGCAATTGCACGTTGTCCACCCTACTTTTGGCTGATAATTAAGCAATATGGACTCTTGAGAGATCAAACTAATGTCAGGGGTCATTTGAAAAGATTCGGAATACATACCGCGAAGAACGCGACTTTCTCATGTATGATGTAATTGCGACGCGTTTGCTTAAAGCACAAGGAAGGAATGCGTACACTGAACATGCTGTTGCCGGTGGTCTGGTAGCTAGACTAGTGGCACTTGGCTTATCAATTATTGGATTTCTTTCACTCCAATGCATTGACATCTACGGCAAGGGGAGTCAGGTGGAAAGTGGGAAAGAGTCAAGGAGCTGGCTGATGTCAGGGTTTCTGTCGCCTCTAAATGCAGGAAGGAGAGCGAGCGACGGTACATTGGTCTCGCCCAAAAGTTGGCCGAGTTTAGATGTACCTCCATCAACGACTCTCGACTGCCCTCCTTCGGAACCGCCAATAGGGAGCCCACTCACAGCGGCTGCCCACTGCATTCAGCAGAGGCAGGCATTCCCGTAGTGGACGCAAACACTGGGCAGGCACTTGCCAGCGTGAGATTCACCCAGTAAAGGACAGTGCAGAAGGAGGCGACCAGACAGCCCAAGGAAAGCACCTTTGGAGCAAACCACCCGTGCCACAACCCCCCAAATCTGGGCCAGAAGACCATTGCCTGCCTGCCCTTCCCGCATCGCAATCGACGACGACGACACCCGACCGTGACTCTGCGACCGAGAGAGACCAAGCGGGAAAAAAAATTCATCAATCGTCACCATCAATCGCCCTCGCGACGAATCGACCAGAGAACAATGAATGGCTATTCAATCGTCGCCAATGGCCTCCGTTACGCGCTCCACCCGGAGGACCAACACTGAAGGCCTCGTCCAGCAGCAGCTTCACCCCCATCCCCTTCACCATCCCGTCCAGGCCTTCGCCGCTGCCAACACGAACACTGCGACGCGCGCCGCTGCCACCCCTCAAAACATCTCCAGCTACCAGCACACGCTGTCCGGTCGCACCAAGCGACAGCTCGACCAGACCGATCATATCGTCGATTTCGAACACCAGAAACCCAAGCGACAGCGGACGAGCATCGAAATCCTCATTCGCCCTGCTCTGTTATCGAGCAAGCCTGCCGTCGCCAACGCGACACCCACGGCAAACGTCACCCCGACTCCGCATCCGACCACGACCGCGGCCACGAAGCCTCAGGCGGCCGCACCCCTAGCAAAACCCACGTCGAAACCCGCACCGCAACACGTCGCAACAGTGCATCCTCCGAATCCAGCCGCTGCTGCTGCGAATAGTAATGCTGCCCAGTTGACCAAACACCAGGAAAAGGTCATTAATGGGATCAAACACGAGCTGGATCGCCTGCAGCCCCGCGAGGCCGATACCCACACAAAGGAGGGGGGCCGCAAACTGCGCTCTCAAGAGGCCACTCGTTTCAAGAGCGAGCTGTCTGCGTATTTTCCCGAGTATGACGAGGTCATTGGAAATGAACCCAAGGAACAGCGTACGCCTCCAATCTGTTTTTTGCCCTAGGTTGAGCCAGCAAATTGTTGTACACTTACTGACGACTGTCCTTTCAGAGCTTTTCACCCTCGATACCCCGATAGTCATTTTTGACTCGAACCCCACACGCCACCACCCAGTCCCGTGGCACCGAAGTCTAGGCGCGACGCCAGATCCCAGTGTAGTACTCGATGGCTCGCATGCTGGGCACAAAGTTCCCGTGCGTGGCTACGGCGATGCTCTATTTGACGAGCTTGTCGACGCCCAGCGGATAGACTTTGATTTCTTGGGCATTTCGCACAAGCGCGAACCCGTAGAAGATCCTCTTCCCGATGCATCCTTTATATCGTCCCACAAGAGGGCGGAAAGGCTGGAAAAGTCTATTCGTAATACCGAACGGGGACGGGCCCAGCATGAAAAAGACCAGATTGCACGCCTCCTGGACGGTCTCCAGGGTCACGATTGGCTGCGAGTCATGGGTGTCAGTGGTATAACAGAGACGCGAAAAAAGCAATTCGAGCCAGCGCGGCAGCACTTTGTCAAAGGCTGCCAAGCCATCCTCGATAAGTTCCGTCAGTGGAGCTTGGAGGAAAAGCGTCGCAAGGCTGAGAAGGACCGCGCTCTCGCCGAGAAGGCAGAAGCAGAAGAGTCATCAAGCGGAGATGAGAATTCGTCCGCGGAATCCGAAAGCAGCGAGGACGACGTCGAAGGAGATGACGAGACTGGCGATATTAGTGACGGTGATCCACCAGGATCTGACGATGACGACGATTCTGTGACCAAACAGCTTCGCGAAGAGGCTACGTCAAGAGGGTCGAAGAACAGCAAGAAACGTCCACGTGCGACACCACAGCCACGGCCTCCTCCAAAACCTGAACCCCCAAGGGAATTCAAGTCCTTCTTCAAGAAGAGATACGAGCGTGAGAGCGCTTTGCACCGACATAGGCGTGCCGGCCGCAAGGTGGTGGCATGGGGACACCCGTTACCAGAGATACCCGAGATCGACTTTGATCTCCCAGAAGAGTTGCGTGACGAGGAGACGCTGAGGGTGCATGCGAGGAAAAGGCGCCGTGATCGCCGCGGTCGAACCTGATCAGAGGTAGTCGGCTGCAGGAGTGGGCCATGGTTGTGTAATACCTGGTGCGCCGTGTCTGCTTCTTCTCTTGCATCGGGGTGGCTCGATGTCTAGTTGTAACAATATCATCTGTAGACTGCTGGGTTGGCATAGCTCAAGAATAAGCGTTCGAATTGTCCAATATTGTCGTTGCTGAGTGATCCGTGACGCCTTCCGAATGAGGTGTCTGAGGCTAAAGTAGGCAGTCGGCATTGGGCGGCACCGGTTAGAGTATTCTCGAAACCATTACTTCTTTTCCAAAAGAGGGAATGGCGGCTCTGCTTTGAAGGACCTGGTCGGACTTGGGTGCTCGGGAAGGAGCTTCACGTTTGGTGGCTCAAGCAACAAATTGAGTGGAGTGCACCCTGGGAGTTGGTCTGCTTACATAACCGAGTCCTACCTTGGGTGGGTGTGAGTCGTGACCCGCCCAACAGGCAGGCGCAAGAGCCAGAGGTGGCTCCGGCAGCTCCATCTCAGTCGCGGCGAACCGTGGGACGCGCTGACCTTGGAAGGCCTGAACTGCACCAGTTGCTGCCGACCTCAGATTTTGTGTTTGGTCGCAGCAGAACCTCTCTCAACCTCCTACTTCTCAGCTGGTCGTACCGCTGTCCCGCTGGAGAACGGCATTATTGATATTCTCAGCTGTCGCCGGCACTTTGCCTAGTCCATTTAATTTCCTCTGGCGCCCTCTTACGACCGATTTCCCCCCAACTTCGCGACGCCGACCGCAGCGACAGGATGATCGTGGCCCTCGTTGCATCCTGCACCTGAGAATCTCGCGCCGGCGCTCCTTCTTTGGATCGTATCCGCCGGACCTCCAACCCATCAAAAACAAACGACTGGCCGTTCGACTCGAGCGACTCGAGCTTTCTGCTTGATGCCAAACTGCGACGTCATATCCTCGAGCGCAAACTGAGCCCACCATGAGCGCCATCGAGGCCGCTGCGGCCGCCCCCGCCGTTGACGAAGTTAACGGCAGCGATTCCGAAGACGATCTTCCTCCTATGAAAGACGAGCCGCCCTACCCCTATTTCGTCCTAAAACAAGATGTCGAGCTCGAGATCAACTTTCGGGCGAAGCGAATCCAAGGAAAATCCCACATCACGTTTGGCATGGTTGGAAATGTCCAGCTTGACGAGTTGGCCATCGATGCGCGGCAGTCCGAGATCGACGTTAAGAACATCACGATCACCGCCCTCAAGGATCAGAACCCCCTGGGCCCACCCAGAAAGGTGCCAGCTACGTACACGGATCCGTATAAGTTACTGGACTATCCGAAATACTATGACTGGAACGCCTCGCATCACGACCTTAGGAAGATCCGGATGCGCCCCCTCATGCACAATCGAAGGAGCGACGTGCCTGCCGAGAATAGAGAGCTGGTAGGCTGTACGCCCGCTGATGGTGCCTTGCGAGTCAGCCTGAGGGATCTTAAGAAGACCAAGGGAGTTGTCAAGGAGGAACCGGTACCCGGAACGGGAATCACCAAACGACCGACGCTCAAGATTCGCGTTTCGAGCGTGACGCCAAACTCTGCAGAGCTCCCCGAAAGCGAACTGACGGGTTCAAGGGAGTATCGTGTCACGATACCTTTCAAGACGAAGCTGGTGCGGGATGGCGTTCAGTTTGTTGGCGTTGATGCCGGTGATCTTCGGTACCCGCACGCCTACACCCGACATTCTATCGAGCCGGGCACGGCTTCCTGTATATTCCCCTGCATCGATGACCCCGGCACGCTTCCGACGTGGACCATGGCTGTCAAATGTCCAAGGACGCTGGGCGACGCACTTTGGCAACCCCTGGCCACCCAGCACAGGAATGGAAATGCAAATGGCAACCGCGATCGCGGGGCAAACCAGTCCAAGGCTGACAGAGACTTCGCTCTTACCGAGGAAGACAAGCTTCTAGAGATGACAGTCGTGTGCTCTGGCATTCTGTCAGACGAGATTGTCGATCCTGAGGACGAGCAAAAGAAGATTATGACTTTTGAGATGGAGAAGCGGGTTGCCGTGCAGAAAATTGGCTTTGCGGTCGGTCCATTCGAGCACGTCGACTTATTCTCAGACTTCCGCACAGAAGAAAATGACGAGAAACTCGGCGCCAGTGCCCTCAAGATCCACGGCTACTGCCTCCCCGGGAGAGCTGCAGAGGTCCAGAACACGTGTGCAGCGCTCGCCGCGGCCGCCGACTTCTTCACCCTCACATTTGCTCGATATCCATTTGACAACTACAAGATGTGCTTTCTCGATGACATGGTGGACGATACGGTATCTCTCCAATCACTCTCCTTCGTCAGCACCCGCCTGTTGTTCCCCGAGGACATCATCGACCTAGAGGTAGACGTCACGAGGCAGTTGGTGTACAGCCTGGCCTCGCAATGGAGTGGGATCAACCTTTTCCCCAATACACGCAGAGATCTCTGGGTCGTCATCGGCATCGCCTACTACATGACCGACCTTTTCCTGAAGAAGCTGTGCGGCAACAACGACTACAGGTTCAGGATGAAGACAATGTCAGACAAGCTGGTGACCGTTGACATCAAGCGGCCGTCTCTGCACGAGCTTGGCCATCTCCTGCACATTGGAGATTTCGAGATGGAATTTATGGCCCTCAAGGCGCCCTTGGTGCTCTTCATTCTCGACAAGCGGTTGATGAAAGCACCCGCCCAGACCAACCTCACGCGCATCATTTCCCGGATTCTCTACAAGGCCAATATCGGAGACAGGCAGAGCGAATGGATTATCAACACGGAGTCGTTCCAGAGGGTTTGCGAAAAGAACGCCAGGAACAAACTTGAGGCTTTCTGGAACCAATGGGTGTATGGCTCGGGCTGCCCCAGGTTCGACGTTTTCCAACGATTCAACAAGAAACGACTCTGCGTCGAGATGACAATTAGGCAAGTTCAGGACAAAGCCATGAGTGAAGCTGAGCTCCTGAAGAAGTCGGAATTTCTTCGCGCCATCAAGGAAAAGGCCCACGGCGTCAAGACAGACGAAAAGGCCGGCCTATTTACAGGCCCCATGACGATTAGAATTCACGAAGCCGACGGAACCCCCTACGAGCACATCGTAGAAATTCGCGAGGATGCTGCAAAGGCCGCTAAGTTCGAGATCCCTTACAACACCAAGTACAAGCGATTGAAGAGAAAGAGGCGAGCTACGGAAAAGCTCAGCGCGCAGTCTGCCGCTGACCCTGACAATAACGAAGATGCACTCTTGTATTGCCTAGGTGACGTTCTGACCAACCCCGAAGATATGAGGAAGTGGGACTTTTCCGAATGGGAGCCCGAAATCGAGAAGGCCATGGATCAAGAGTCGTACGAGTGGATTCGCATGGACGCCGACTTTGAATGGGCCTGCGAGATGAAGACAAATCTCCAGAGTTACATGTACGTGTCCCAGCTCCAGCAAGATAGGGATGTCGTGGCGCAGCAGGATTCGATGCTGTATCTCAAGAAGAGTCCGCCCCATCCGCTGGTATCGACGTTCCTTACCAGAACTCTTGTCGACCGGCGATACTTCCACGGCATCAGGACAATGGCTGCAGAGATGCTATATCACCACGCCGCGGATAAGGTCTCGATGGCTGGTATGACCCATCTGCTAAAAGCCTTCACCGAGATGTTTTGCTACCCCGATACCTCTATGCCTCGGCCAAACGACTTTTCCGACAAGAAGCAGTACACCGTGCAGGGCGCGCTGCCCATGGCCATTGCAAAGATTCGCGATGCTAGCGGCAGATGTCCCGAGGCCGCACGACGCTTCCTCCTGAACCAAGTTCAATTCAACAACAATGCTAATAACCCGTACTCGGACCATTTCTACGTTGCCAAGCTTCTAGAGGCTCTCGCCCATAGCTTGGTTCCAGAGAAGCGGCGGGAGTCCGATGACGCCATGGATGTGGACATGTCCGCCGAAGAGAAAGGCTTTCTCAAGGAGGCTATTGTTGAGATTGATCGCTTCCGCAGGATGGACGAATGGGCCAACTCTTACCAGAACATCTGGACAACCACCGCGCTGGAGTGCAGACGCAAGCTCATGAAAGCTGGGGTTATTCCCAAAAGTGCTGTGGCCTTTGTCCAGTACTTACAGGACGACACGTGCGACTTGGTTCGACTCAAGGCTTTTGAGGCTCTAGTGGATCTGGGTTATTTGATGGATCTGCCTGTCTTCCGTCTGATTCTTTCCGTTATGAGCACTGACCGGTCTCCATTCGTACGGGATAAGCTCGTCAAGATCTTCTGTACAGGTCTGGCTAGTCTCGCCTTTGGAGAGCAGTCAAAGGCCAAGGTCGCGCCTGCTGTTCCCGACGGCGGACTCATGATCGTGGACAACACCGAGGCAGAGACGCAGAAGAGGCGGAAAGAATTTGCACGAAAGCAGGATATCAACGTCGCACTCGAGGCTCTGAGGACAGAAATGGAAGAGCAATTTACAGAGCAAGAAGCCGCACTGGAGCGTGCGTTCTGGAAAGCTATCAATTCCAACCTGATCGGGCGTTCCGAAAAGATCACGCTGCTGGAGCTTTGCGGCACCGTAGTCGACGCTGCTGACCGATGGACGATTACCCTGAAGTACCCTAAGCGATGGAAGGTCAATCGTCCTGTCCAGCGTCAGCCTGGCAGAGTCAGTCTCTCACTCGGAGTGCCTATTTCTTCGTTCACTTTTGCTAACATACGCGCAGAACATCATCAACTTCAAGGCTTTCTTCAAGACGGGCATACCGCAAAAGATCGAAGAGACCGAGCCGCCAGCACCAGTTTCGGCACCAGTCCCTGCACCCACGCCTGCTCCTGTGGTTGCACCATCTCGGCCGCCCGAACCGAAACGACTTATCGTCAATATGAAGAGCGGCGTCGCCAGACCCAGCAAGCCTACGGTATCCCTTCCACGCCCTGCGTCCACGGCTCCTCGCCCTGCGTCCACGGCTCCTCGCCCATCGCCGGTCTCTGCCACACAGTCCCCCGTACCGAGTGCGGCACCATCGCCCGTTCCGCGGGAAGCAGACTCTATCGTCGCGCACTCGAATGCCAAGGCGTCTACTCCGAAGCCGTCGTTCTCAAAGCTCCCCGGGTCCAGACCGCCGAGTGTGAAGCCCGGTATCGTCAAGGCAGGTATCGCCAAGTCTGTGGTGTCTTCGGCGTCATCGTCGTCGTCCATGCAGCCAAATGGCCGCTCTACTCCTCAACCCACGCCTGAGCCCGGCAGCAGCAAATCGCAGAAGCGACCTCGGCCCGACAAGGTCCCAGGAGTTGATGAGGCATCGCCAGCTCTCAAGAAGGCGAAGCTGACTGTCCGGCCTGATGGCACTGTGGTTAAGAAGCGCAGGATGTTTAAGTTCCGGCACCCCAACCTCAAGAGGATCCTGAAGAAGGCCGGCGTCAAAAGTCAGATGCCCTACAGAGATCCGTCAAAGATTCGGAGAACAGGAACACCAATGAGTGTTCGTGCCTCTCCCGCTGGATCACCGGCTCCTCCCCCATCTGAGAGCATCAACGCGAAGCCGGCTCGCAAACCTCTTCCCGGCGCACCGTCCGCAGGTAGTCCTCCACCAGCCCCAGCCTCACTACCGCCAAAGCCTCCGCCGCAAGCATCGCCACCCCCTCTTGAGGGCCAGTCCGCTCCGAAGAAGGTGAAGCTTGTCATCAAGAAGCCTTCCAGTTCACTACCCAAATAAACAACCTCGAGCCGCTCATTCATGAGTCAAGGCGGGAAATATGGGTGAACAGCAAAATATTCATGCCCATGCGTCTCTAGGCCCTCGCAAATTGCTTTCTTTCATCCATCTTCACGGTCATTGTATCATGCTTCCGAAACAGGATTGCGTGAATTCACATTATTTTTCAGGCGTTCTTTTAGGGCTTGAGACAGCGGAGGCTAGGCGGAATTATACATCATCATTACAATCAGGCCCTAGGGGAAGCGAAACGTTGCAAACCACAGCGAGGGGTCAAAAAAGAATAGGGGCACGAGAAGAGAATCGCGGTGAGCGTTCCCAGCGTGCCGTGGTTTTAGTTGTATTAGTAAAAAAGAACACGTTCGGGCAGGAGGAGAGAGAGATGAGGAAGAGAAGATAGTCTTCCCCCAAGTCGTAATGATACCTCCTTCAGTCCAGTATGCCTTGTACCAACTCTCTTTTCCCATCGGTCCTTTTGACGACGCATTCAAGCTTCGGACTGCATGTGTGACTGCATTTCCTCAGGTGAGCGCCACCGCAGTGATATTCTTTCCCCACTCGCCAATCTGTTTTCCCTCAGATGTTGTAGACGACGCGTGTGACGTAGAATCTTTCTGATGTCTCCCATCATTGAGGAAAGGGTGTGGCGGTGGCGGTTGTGCAGCGAGCGGGACTAGGTAGACGGCAACTTGAAGTGTAAGGCAGGTATCCCATCGCCAGGGCAGAGTCAAAGTCCAAAGCCGTACAAGATCGGAATCCCATCCTCATACTGTGATAGCCCAAGGGAGGAACCGAGACTGACGAGGCGGAAGCCCAGCGGAGGTTTCCCCACGGGAGGTAAGTAGGTTGTATCGTGGTATTGTCATGCGGAGAGGATATCAGGCCATCGCCCCGGCAAACCATGTGCCCATCAACCAGAAAACATAACGAGTTCATCAGAGCTTTAGTCCCCCTGCATTCGAAGAGAGGAAATAGATCAGAAGTTTTACTGACGTTTGTATTTCTTGTTTGCAATAACTGTAATTGGTTTTACACGCCCCACATCCTGACCGGATCGCGCCGTCTTTGATGGTATTAGAGCTTACGGGATATTCTACAAAAGGAAGACGCAACCGCTCCAAAATGACACAGAAAAGGAAATGAAGGAGGGCAAGGGGCTGCCGGGCTTTGCAAGTCGTGGCCAAGTTACCACTGCTAAACCCAGATCTGGAATCGCTGTCCCCTTCCTTCTTGGCTTCGGGTGTGTAGTAGAACTTTCACCCTGTCCTCTGTCTTAACCCAGGCCCATAAACGCCAGTCTTTTTGTTAGTTCCAAGTAGCAGGATAAGAAAGCAAAAAGCCTCGCCCTTGCGATGAAGAAAAAGGAAAACCCTCATGGATCCTATTCAAGATTTGCCGCGCTCTGTTGAGAAAAGGTGGTATTAGAGAGAGCTATGCCGCGGACCGAATCAATGAGAGTGTCCATGGTCGTCGTGGCTATGACTGTTGCCGTGGTCGTGATCGTGGCCGTGGCCATCGTGGCTGTGGGTGGACTGGCTGCGCAAACTTCCGGCAGCTGTTGACTCGGTACAGCAGCCACCTGCTTCGCAGTTGTCTACGCACTGCAACAAGCAGGTCTGCTTTGGCGAGCCAGCAATGGCAGTGCCATCGTATTGAGTAATGTGCTCGGGCTCGGTAGCATGGTGCTCGTCGTCTCCGCAGAACTCGGGTTGAATGGTGGCTGCGTGAATGCCGAATCCGTGAAGACATCTGCGGGCCGACTTTGCAAGCTTCATGTACTTCTCACCGTTCTCGGCAGAGATTGGGAAGTTAACGTGGACGTGGAGGGAGGCAACAATCTTGGTATCGGAAAGTTGCCAGACGTGAACATGGTGGCAGCTGATGACACCTTCCAACTTTTCGATATCCTCGCGGATCTCCTGGAGGTCAATGTTGTCGGGGGTAGCCTGGAGAAGAACCTTGGAGGTTGCCTTGGTGAGAGGAATGGCGGACTTGAGGATAATGAGAGTGATGAAGAGTGAAACCGCGGGATCGGCGTAGAAACGGCCAGGCCAGTCGGTCAGCCAGATGATGAGAGCGGTGACAATCACACCAACATTGCCCAGAGCATCGCCAATGACGTGAAGGACCATGGCGTTCATTCCCATATCGCCGTGGTCGTGGCCGTGGCCGCCAGAGGCCTTCTTACGCTCCTTGTTGTGGTTGTGGTCGACGTGAAGGCTGGACTCCCGTCTCGAGTGCTTGTGGGAGGATCGGCCGCGGGAGTTCTCAATCATGTAAGAGTGGTCGTTGCCCTTGGACTTGAGCAGGGGCGACTGCTCATCAGGCTCGCCATCCTCGATAACAGTCTCCTCAACCTCGCTCTCGCTCGTGGTCGACTCCTGTCCGTCACGCTGAGAACGGCTGGCGTCGATGATTTCCTGGCGGAAGCTCGAAGGATAGATGCTAATGTCCTCAATACTAGTCAGACGCGAGTGGTTTCGCGAGCTGTTTCTTCGGTTCTGGCTCTTGGAAGTGGCGGATGTGCGGCTCTGAGCTCGGCCCGACGGGTCGGATTCCCCATCGAACCGAATGCGACGAGGTGTCTCAGGGTTGGCACCGGCGGAGGCTCTAGCGACGATGGCTTCGGGGAAAACATCACCAACGTTGCCACCGTCGTTGTCGGTAGCGTGCGAGACGTGGGCGCGGCCCTCCTCGGCGGCGTGCTCTGCAGAGTGGGGATGGTCATGGTCGTGTCCGTGGTCGTGCTCGCCGTCGCCGTGATCGTGATCGTGCTCGCCGCCGTGGGAATGGCCGTGGCCGCCGAGAACAAAGAAGCCGACGAGGTTGGAGGTAAGGCCGAGTGCACCGACAATGAGAATGAGGACGGGGTTTTCGATTTCGGGAGGGTCAAAGAATCGGGTAATGGCCTCGAGGATGATGGAGACGCAGAGGGCGATGAGGAAGACGGCGTTGAAGAAGGCACCGAGAATCTCGGCTCGCAACCACTGCAGATTCAAATCAGCTCAACAATGTCGTGGATCGGGTGGAAAGAGAATGACCTACACCGTAGGAGTACTTGTCGGTGGTAGCCTTCCTTGCGACGGCAACGGCCCAGAGTCCGACACAGAGGGAAATGATGTCGTTGAGCTACTCGAGTTAGCGATACGTCGCACGCGGCGCGGCAGGGCGGTATCGGGGCAAACGCACCATGTGGAAGGCATCGGCAGTCAGGGCCAGCGACTTGACGACCAGGCCGACAATCAACTCGACGAGGAAGAAGACGACATCGATGGCCAGCATGATGCTGATCCGCGTGGACTTTGACCACGCCATGATGGGCAAATGTCGATTGACCGCGGACGATAGGGAAAAGAGAAAGAAAAGAGCCCTGTAAGCCCTGGACTGTATTGGGTTGGCCCAGTAAGCGGGTTGCGATGGAAGGTCACGTCGTTGTCGCTGTGGTCGCTGTTGCCCGTTGGTGGTTGAAGATGCGCGAATCGGGGGACCAGGGGGGGGAGGGGGAAGAGAAGTAAAAGAGGGAAGGTGGAGGGGCGTTGCCGGAATGATATTTGAGGAAGTGGGAGGGTAAAAAAAGATTGAGTTTTTGGGGAGGGTGCGGTAGTGGAGAGTGGCAGAATGAGGACGCGAGTTGAGTTTGGCGCTACGCTGTATCTTGACCTGACGGGGTGGGAATAATATCGCTCTCGCTCTGCATTAATTGATTGCTTGCTTCCTTTGCAGATTTGCTAAGTCATGCTCTGCTTTGCTCGTCGGTGCTCAGTGTCCACTGCTCTTTGCTGCAGCCACTTCCTGTTACGTTCTCGTCTTTCTCAGATGATGTACGGGATGCCGATAATTAATTGGGATGGGTCAGAGTCGGGGGGGTTAAAGAAATGGAGAGAAAAAGCCGGAACGCGGTCGGACGCGGCGATGGGACACTGCGCAAGCCAACAGCGAACGGGTTGCAGATGTATTGATGTATTCCTCAGTTGAGTGGGTAATATGACGGAATGGGGATTTCTTTCTTTTTTTGCATCTTCTCCCCGTAGGTTTCTCTCCTCTTCCTTCGCCTTATTAGATGGTGTACGAAGTATTCGTACGAATTTGGGTAGAAGCCATTTCCCCCCTCAGCAGGCGGATAACACGTGCTCGCTGTTGGCTGCTCGCAGCACGCAAAAAATCAAACAGATGAGATGGATGCAAAGGGACCAGGGGGCGACTCCAACTGAACGGGAAGGGGAAAGAGCACGGGGCAAGGGGGGCAAATGGCATCTCAGGGCACCGTCACCTCAGACAGAAACATCAGTTCTGCCTTAGTCAGGTAGAAAGGGGACTTTCCAGGGAGATCTAGAGATCTAGTTCGGAGAGGCGTTTTGGAAGCAAAGAGAAAGAAGCTCTACATTTCTGTGACTAGACTGTAGCTTCTCCTTCCGCCAAAAATTGCCAAACACAAGGTACCCGAGCTGAGGAAGAAGTGTTGAAAGACCAGCCTGAGAAGCACCGAGTGCATCGGAAATGCATCGGTCCTCCGCTTCAGCACCGGCCCCATGCCAGCTACCGCCACCGCAACTCAGTGACCAAAAGACCGAGCTTCGGACATGTACAGATATGCCCGGTGGCCCGTAAGTCTTACAGCCCGAGATCAGACGAGAGAAAGACCGGTACTCCAAACTTGTCAGAGCCTGCAAGAGTGAGAGCCACACTGCAGATTAGACCGTGATTATGCAGCATTATCAAAGCTTCCGGTTTTCTGTCCAACAGTATCAACGTCCCGTCTCGCTGCGTGCATTCTTGGACGATGGGCTGACGGGGGCGGCTTGCGATCAGCCTCTCATTGGCCGAATGGGGTCAAAAGCTCCCCCACCACACCTGCATCGCAGTTTCTATTCTTCGTACCCAAGTGTCCGTACAGGCAAGAGGAGGCAAGTGCTATTAACAGTTGGTACATATAGGTACGTATCGATGGTATCTGACTCCTTCTCTCTGTTACCAGCCAGCCACCAGTCAGCCCGTCTTACTCCAGCACCTGTCTTGCCTTCCCTTCTGAGTCCTGACAGTTTTCTGCAACAGCACCAGAGCTCCTCAAAGACGAGCAACTACTCGTCATTCGGTTCGGAGCAGCATACCTTACCGTTACGGTGGGAACATCGGCTCGGAGCTTTTCCATCATCGGCTGTCACTTTACTACTGTTACACCCGACCATTCCCCAACGACCAGTGACCCAACTCCTGGGGACTGAGGGAGATTCGTCTTGCGTTGATCACTCCTTTTCAGGAATCACTGACGCATCTTCACAACGATCCCAGCTAGCCCCGATCTCGGCGCCGTTCCAAAATTTGAAGTCTCGCCCCCAAGACTAAAGCTGTCAGTGACTCAGGAGTCAGTGGTCCTCGTCGCCGACCCTGTTCACCCTGCGAGTTTCCCAGGCATCTGCTTCTCATCCCTGTGATCCCCGGCTGCGATACCCGCCTAGCGCGCCCGGTCGGCCAAGCCGGGAGCCGTTGTGGATTCTCCAGCTCGGCCCCGTCGACTAAACCTTTTCACGATATCTCTTGTGGGGTTAGGCCCTTTGGTTCGTCTTCCGGGGTGTCGTCTTTCCGCGATTTGTATACGAAATGCGAACAAGCCTCCCTCGGCTCGTCAACCCTTCGCTATAACCGATGCTGTGAAGATAGAAGCAATGGCATAAAGGACGGTCGGTGGCATGGGCTCACTGCGGTTGGCAGCGTTGGTTTCCTGACAGATCCCCGTTACTAACAAACACAACCAGCACAGCGGCGTATCTGAGTATGATTGTTAACACGGTTCCCAGAATATCGTGAGGGCCTCTTACGCTGCCGTCCCTGCGAAGATCTCCGCCCGTTTTGCATTTGTTGTCAAACCTACGCATAACGCAAACGCAACCGTGGAGGTACATATCATGCCAACCTTCGCTGACCACCTACAGACGTAGGAAAAGCCGACGATGGCCCCGATGAGCAGAGCCGCAGCGAGTGCGATACTGATCAAACCGACTGCCACCGTGATGGACTTTTCGTTATAGCGACGGATTCGATGAACGCCGTCTCGGGACAACTCCTCCTTGACAATGTCAGAATACCATAGACAAGATGTTAGGCAATATTACCTGCCCCGGCCAACAGGCTCGGAGTTGTTTGGAAAGAAAATCGGCCTCTGCTGGCACTTTCAAGGAAACCAAATCGGTCTCGTCTTCCAAGAAGTGTCGTGACCTTCCACCGAGCACCCGCAACGGCTGCTCGAGCCAATGCCTAGTCGCCTGCAATGCCCTTCCCTCAGGGCGATGCATAGAGGCTATCTCGCTCTGGAGTTTGAGCGTCTCATCTGCGTTCGCGTCAACTCACGTTCTGGCATTGCAGTATACTGTTTGGGGCAGAAGCTTACGATATTCCCTCAGCTTTGCTCTCAATTCTTGCACCGTCGCCATCATCTCGAGGGCTCTCGGCTCACCTTCGTTGCACTGAATTACCAGCATTTCCCATTTTCTCGCAGATTCCTGCAGTGATGTGTCGGTGCTCCGATCAACTAGTCGATTAAGCCTCTCCAAGTTCTCCTCCAGGGCTAACACCTCACACTGCAAGTACAAGATGTTGCGGGCGCTTAACCTATTAAACTTTCGAAAGATGAAGCTTTCGGAATCAACATCGCTAGCCAGTAGCCAAGAAGCTTCTGCGAAGCCTTGGCCGTGGTCTATGATTTCTGTGGGCTTTTCGATGTCGTTCATGATGTCTTGCGTTCAGTCGAGAAGTTGCTGGACCATCTTCATGTCCATACTTGTCTTGATATTGTGCCAGGCAATGACGGACGGCCTAGTATGAAAGGCTGAGCAGCACCGCCCTAGCCACCAGGAATTACGCGTCCAAACCCGCCCTACTCTGAACCCTAGCGAGGTGAACGGCGCCCGTATGTGCCAATCATATCTAATGGTTTCTAACGAGGCATACTCGCTGCGAGACAGGCAGACTGTTCCGGGGTCGCACCTTTCACTTTTGACATCGGATCTGTTCCATTCCCGTGTCCATGTCTCTGACTTTCTGTTCTTCCTCACATGCAACCCCGGTTGACAGACAGCTTTCCTAACTTTCAAGGCCTTCAGGTTGTTCACGATTCCACCGATTGCTAGGTATACTTAAGAAGCGAATATGAACTCTCCATCATCTGATCTCGCCCGAAATCCCATTCAATACCAACGCGCGGGGGACTCGCAACGAAGGAGCTGTCCGTACTGTGGTGTGCGCGGCCATAGGACCTCCAACTGCTATGAGATCTCGACAAAAATATCGAAGCCTACTAGCTGGTGTTCACATATTAAAGCGAGAGTTGGGACAGAAGACACAGAAGCCTTTCCCGATACAGGAGCACAGATCAACATCATCTCGACCGTCTTGGCTGAAAAGCTACATCTTCGGCCAAAACCCAAAACGGGGCGACTGATTCGACTGCCGACTGGGGGCAGCGTTTTGTCTCCGGGTCCAACGGTGGTACCCTTCAGATTCGAGGGGGAAAAGACAGTAATAGATCTCGACTGCTTCATTCTCCCGCTTAGTGGGCGTGACCCGACTCTATCAGGGCCATTCCTTCATGCCACGGAAACGTTGAGGAAGTACAAGAACAGGATTATTACTGCATTTCGTCAATGCAGCAGATGACTCGGTTTGTATCTCCTTGGTAATGAGAAGCGACGCCTTCATGGGCTCATCGACGGTGAGCCTATCGAGGCCCTGCCAGACACCGGTTCAGACGTCATGGTTCTGTCCGAAGAGTATGCTCTTTCTCGCGGGTTCTCGGTCGACAGGAGCCCTTGAGTATCAAGTTGAGCTTGAGCTAGCTGATGGCTCTGAAGTCTCTCCTTGTGGCCTACTTCGTGGGGTAAACTGGATGTTCGCTGCGTCGCGACGAAGGGTCAAATGCGACTTCTACGTCCTCAAAGACTTGTGTACGGATGTTGTTCTCAGCAACGACTTTTTATTCGGATATGACGTGTTTTTCACGCAAATCGACTCACTTTCGGAGCCATCGTACAGCGAAGAGGATCCGGAGCTGCTATTTATCAGCCTGAAAAGGAACGGCCGGTCCGAATTGATGCAGCCCGAGGATCCTTCCAACATTGATTGTAAGTTCTGCCAACCCCGTTCTCGTTATAAGACCTCCACTGATATCAATTCTGCGTTGTAGACACCTCTGCTAATGTCTTTAGTCGCCAGCGAGTACTGGCTGAGCTCGATCGCTGTGATAAATTCGACGAGTGAATCGCCGCGCGAGGTCCCAACGAGCAAGAAGCTGAGCGGAGAGTCGAACTTGAGAGACGACGGCTATGGGAAGAGCTTCGGCAGAGGCATCGACAACTCCAGGCCACTGCTCGTTTGAACGATGGTACTCTGTCCACGTCGGCGCCGGCACCAAACAAAAACACGGCGACGGAGGCGAAGGTTAGGGGGCGTTTGGGATTCGCATACTTTTTTGCAAGGCTACGAGTCAAGGCTGTCAGGAGCTAGAATATGAAGTGTTCTTACTCTTTGCAGGTATTGGACATGGGCTTTGTGAAACATGTCGTCTCAGGATGTCCAGTTTTCACGTGCCGAGCGAGGCTCGGTAGTACTGCTCCAGCTCAGTAAACAGAGGCATCAACCACGCAAGAATCAAGATAAGAGCCGGCGCAACACTTCAAGAAGGGAGTAGGGAGCCATAGGGAGATACATGACGATCTGTTGGCATACAACTCTAGGTGGATTTTACGGGTTAGCGGCTTAGTGGCATACGTTTCGATTACTGGCATACTAGGTCACAATGGAGGGATGGCAAAAGACTCAGTCCATTTGACATAGTAAATTCTTGACTTGACGTCCAGCTAGATATGAAGTCGTTGTGAGTATCTTCAAGATACTTCCTCCACTTGGTTCCTTCGCACACTATGTGCACGTGGCGTCTCATAATTCTCGGGGCTACTCTGTTCTTCTCCTCGACGTCTATACCGGACATGAATGTAGTCGTCTGGTTTAACAGCAGTCCTAGGTGGTAAGGACGAAGGTTCCGGTACAAAATGTGGCATATCGCCCCCTCACGTGCCCTTTCCTGCCTAACAATGGTCTCCCAAACTGCCCTGTGTAAAGCAAGGTTACGCAAGCCTCACATGCAGACATGGTGCCATGATTAACCACGGTCTTTGCTTCGGCTGCCAGTATCCAGCCATGAGAGTTCGGCCCGGAAGGCAAGGCGGACGTTGCTCCTTTGGACCACTTTCCAGTGGCAGCGAGATAATTGTCAGATCCACGTGATTATAATACCATGATCATCTCTCAACGGCCCGACTTGACCTCGCATACACCAGCAATAACTTAACATCGCACGAGCAACTTCTCGTGCCGCTCTCAAAATCATCTACTAGCCTCTTCCAATACCCTATTATCAGCCAGCCTACTCTGCATAAAGGCAGCAAGCAACTGGTCATACGGTGCAGACCTTCCAGCCACCGCGCGTTTGGAGCTCATCGAGTGCCTCTTACATGTCAGAGATCCCCCACACCGGCCCTCGGGCACCGGAACGCCACACTGGCGTTCGATGTCGATGGAACCTAATGGCAGAGCTTCCATCAGCCGCTAAACTTGAATACTTCTCTCATGCAAGTTGAAGTTTTGGATAATATACTTTCTGTTGCCTGGCGCCTCTCGGAAGTCTGAGGCGTCGGTGTGGGGCCCGCGTGTTCGTGGGGCGGTGGAGGAGGCGCAGGATCACCTGCATTCAAGACTTCGCTTGAACGGGCGGGGCTCATGTTCAGTTGAAATGGATGGAATACTGCGGTGTTACAGTCGACCTCGAATACGTCGAACAACGACGAGAGACTGAAGATCCCAATATTAGCCTCTGCACGATATGTTGCTTTTGGTTATTGAGCCTAAGTTTGCATATAGTAGGTACCCACTGTCGCATAGACGCGGGCAATTAAAGCGAGTGGCACCGAGAGGCCGAACCAAAGAATGGTCCTCTTTGGGCGTTCAAGAACAAAAAGCTCCGAATGTTACGCAGAATGGAGGTGACTGGCGGCTAAGGGGCCTTTCAGATTTCCGGATGATGGCTATTGACGGATAGAAAAGCATGAAAGTTTGGATAATGCAAGAAACAACTTCACCCGGGAAGAATTAAGGTGCGCTTGGTCGGCACGTGAGCTTCTGCCTGGAGCGCGGCAGTTCGGACTGGGTACCGACGGAGAGGTATCCACTCAGCTCCGACTCGGTCGCGGGAGGCGTCGGCGGCGACCCACCGAAGGGGCCGATGCGTATTGGCTTTGGCTTCAGGCAGCCCATCCGGGCTCCGGGCTGCAAAGTAAGTCATGCTTACTCGATTTTCACGAGTTTTGAATACACGCGTGTTCAATGTATCTTGAACTATTAGAAATCGCGCTCTTCTCCTCTGGATCAATGTCCAGGTGCATGTTTCGTTCGATCCGGATTGCTCATGATCGGTCACGTATTGCATGTTCCAAGTATATCCTACAGTCTTTCAGAGACCGGATTCTTCCGGTATTAGATGGCATCAACGACATTTCGATTAGTGGATCATCTGGGGCGAACGGCATTTCATCTTCGCCAAGACACGGCACGGCAGCTTCAATCTTGACTTGTCTGCCATCATCCCGAACTCCAAGCCCAGAGAATCTTGGATCTCTAACCCCATCACGCTGAAACAGAGGGACCATGTATCTCCAAGTGGTCAAAGAAGACTTGTCGGTCACGCTTGTTTCTGTGTCCATTGAAATCAGCGTGTTGACAATGAGCCGGGAGAATCAAGAATAGGAACTTCTGTATACCTACCCAGCTTGAACGAATAAGTTAAGGACGTAGCATCCTATGCAATAAATCTTCTTATGGACAATGCGACGCCGATCGATTAGCAATTGCCCCAATTCGCCCAATTAGTTCCTATGACTGCAACCCCCTGACGCAGGTAACATCACGATCTTAGCTACCCTGACGACTCTTTGACGACATCTAGAGCTATGAGAAAGCCAAAGAAAATGACCGACAGCTGCTATAGCGTCAGTAAAAGAGTGTTCTTGCGCTGGCAGGCGACTGAATTTGCTCAATCATGTCAGTATAACGTACAGCCAAGAATCCCAACGCGAGCGTTGTTAGTTCAAAACCTCCGGCTAATGCCTTCCCGGCAAACATGGCACGCTGGAGTCTCCAGGCTCGGAAAGCCCCAAGCGAAACGATGCAAATCGAGAAGCTGTAGCACAGAGTAGCCAAAGGTTTGCCCACCGCCGTATACCCCAAGCCTGTGCCTGACGCCTGTAAAGCAAAGAGTTGCGCTACCACGGTTCCAAGGACTGCCGTGGCCACTGAAGTACGAAGATATCCTAGAAAGGTTCGCTCAATTGCTTTGAGGAAGCGGAGAACTTCTGTTAGCTGTCGGCCTATCGTCAATCTTCGGCAGCGAAGACCAAAAGCAAGGTTAATAAAATGGGGATGGCGGGACGACTTCCGACCATGGCAGCTTTCTGGCAAATGGAATTGTAAGGTTTCGTGTAGCAAGGTTGCGGTCCTGCTGTAGATCGATCCGCAATGGCCAGGAGCCCATCAAGCACACCACCATGTATGGAATGCGACCCTGCCAATGCCCTAGGAAGGAGACAATCGATTACTTGTCTGTGAGGGGAGATGTATCATTGAACATAGAAATGATGATGCTTACATGCAATTGTTGACCACGCAAGAATTGCCCTGCAAAGAACGGAGGAAGGGAGACAAATATCAAGGTTCGGGGCTCGAAGCCTTGGTGGCAAGGAAGGAAAGTTTCGGGACGACTGGGACCATCAGGAAGGGCGATCTTGGAGAGGTATTGTGTACGTAGTAGGGGGGCGTCTGAGGTCACTAAACCATGCAAACTGCTGCTGAACTGACCATCCGGTGCAGGGACATCTGGAACAGTGACATCCCATCCTCTTGCCGTGCAATCGGGAGAGAGTAGCAGAGCATCAGAGAGGATGCGGAGGGGGTTTTCTGAACTCAATCTTGAACGACGCTCCAGGTGAAAGCGTGCGTAGAGAGCAAAAAGACAGTCCTTTTGTTGCACACAAAACGTACCTAGGTGGTCGCGGCAAGTCTCAAATTCCACTACTACGCTGACTTGTTCGCTCCAAAACCGCTTGATGGCACATTCTTTGCCAGACGAAGGCGGGTTCTGGGCCGATGATTCCGCACTCGACGCCTCCGTGTCGTCCTTGTCTTTCTCGGAAACATCCCGAGCTGTCTCTGGCTGACTTTGGTTTGCTTGATCGTCGTTCTGCTTTTCGTGATATTGTGTCGGCTCTTGCGATGTGATATATATGGTGTCCCCTGATGACTGAGGCTCCTGTGACGGCATATTGTGTTTCCTGTCCGGCAGTTCGCGTAAGGTATTCCGCCTGTTAGACGCTGGAAACAGTCCAGGCCCTGCCAAGTGCCAAGAAACAGCAGCAACTAGAATATTGAGTAGATGCAGGCACCCCGACTTGGCTGCGTGATTTCAAGGTCGATAAAAATCCGGCTGTGTTGCAGACTTGTGTAAGTATTGACTAGTATCGCCGCGGGATGTGGTTGGGTCGGTAGCTTGCAGGCGATCGAACATGTTTAGGTATGATAAGACCAGTGTAAGAAGAACAAGGACGATTGTCAAACATCATGAAGGAGCCGAGAGACGAAGGTGCCTATTCTGATGTTCAACTGACCGGCAGCGTGAGCTCGGCGACGAAGCCGGGCAGACGGCAGTCGGGAGCGGCAAACTCGCTCGACATAGAGACTAAATGCGGCTGCCGGCGATAGGGACGACGACTGGCGCAGACGTTGAGTTGCCGGCAAAGATAGGGCAAATGGTCGCCGATGAAAACGAATGATCCACTAGATAGACAGGGATGGCTAAGTGGTCGGTAACTTGGCGGACAATTTGCTTTCTGAGCCAGGCATGCTTGAATTGGTTTGTAGAGGAAGTCCGGAACCAGGACTTCCTCTTGAGTCTCGTGTGGAAACTCGCTACCGTGTTCGGGCTAATTTGATTCTTTAAAAAATAAGGCGTTGAAAGTTGTGCTCAATTTGGAACTCGCCGTTGTCCTTCGATGTTCCGGAAAGGTCATCGTAGTATAGAACTGAGCAAGGGAGTCAGATGGAGACGGTGCAGCTCCCCGCACTCCACTGTTCTCCAACTTCTAGATCTGCAAGCTAGTGTCAGGAGGAGCATCCACATAGAAATGGCTAACCAGAACGGTGGAGAGCGTGAAAGCAGGCGGTTACGCTCCGGCGGGTTTGACGGCTGTGGTTTGGGTTAAGGGGGGCTGAGATGTCGTGATGGAACGGGGAATGTACTCACGAGGTTGAGGCCGGGAGGAGGCTCAGTTACGGCCGCAATAAGAAAACCTCCGACGGGTGTTCCTGCGCTTTCTGCTCCCGCCGGTGGTACGTCCACTCCACGAGTCGCAGATGCTTCCGAACCAAACTTAGGGTCGCATCTTGCCCTGCAACTGCATCTACTCCGCGACTTCCGTGCCGGAATCATCTCTTCTCAGGTAAGGTACCCGAGCTGACCTGCCTCTCGCGACTCCCTTGACATCACATCGTTGCGTATTGACGCGGGGAAAGCATATTGGATCATGGATGGGATCGATGGGACTGCTGGTGCCTGGTTCAACACCGTCCTGCCGAGAACCATTGCTGCTTTCCCACCTTGGTCAAGACAAAACAAAACAAAACACTCAATGACATCGCAGAATCCCTACTCGATATGCAACCGCAAACTTCCCCGGGAAGACTTCCACAACAGTCGGGCACCTCACGCCAAGCCCCGACTGTCGTTGATTTACATGTGAAGTCCCAGTGAGAATGGAGTCTTGACAGGCCATGTCGCCATTCCGTCCAGAGTCGCACTACATTAGACGAACGACGACCACTTGAGATGGACAGCCGAACAAGTGCTGGACTGAACTAGTACTGCGCAAACTTTATCGCCTGATTTTCGATCCGTCGTTATTCCTTGTACGCTACGGATTGCTTGCTATACGACGTACCTCTGCAAGGTGCGGATGCAACGCAGGCACGTACCGCACGCAAGCAGGTATTGTCCGAATAGCCCTGTATGGGAACCCTTCACAGAAGCCAGTCTCGATCTAGCGCAGAGGCTAATACTACACACTCGGTACATGGCAGCCTGTGGCTATAGTACGGGTTGCCCAAGAACGCAATGGTCATCGACAGGGCACGGCTGGTCTGCATCCGACTATACTGCAGTTCTTACACCGACGTAACCCTCCCCGATTGTCGACAAATTTACCGGGCCTCTGACGAACCGGAATCTTCAAACCAAATGACAAAACCATATGGCTCGATATCCGGTTCATGGAAAGATGATTTCCCGCGTCCCCTACGGACTACGGGTACATTTCGCATCGACAGCAGAAGTATCTGTTCGGGAGGGAGGCTACGATACAATGGTGGCTTCTGATAACAGTCTACCCCTGCGACGTATCATTGCAGCCGTTACCTTGGGATTGACTTCAATGGACCAGCTCCCTCTTGCGTCAACGACGCAGAGATCGCATCTTAGCGTGGTCCCGTCTGACTCTGAGCTTGTCGTGTTCGACTACTTACCTACGAATAGGGCGAATGACCCAGCACGGATAGGGAAGCTTCCCAGGAGTAGCCGCAAGCAACCATTCGACCAGGGATCTATCGGTGGGACAGCAGAGACCCAGACGCCGTCCTGTTGGGACTCGGGACCGATCCCCACCTCCCCCAGTCTCGCCGTGCAGTTTTGTCTTTCCGGCCAACCAACCCGGCCCCCTGATGGGCAAGACGGGCCGCCCAGCCGTCGTCCGGTTCCTTCATCATGGATTCCCACCTCGGGTCGCCCTGGATCTCGATAACTTGTCGTCAGCTATGCAGGCTCTCGTCCGCCTTATCCTACTGGATGCTGCTTCGCCGAATGTTATTGCCACTGGACAAAATTCGAAGCGGACACATGCAACCTTTTATATTCCTTACGACCAACACGCTCAGGTTGCCGATCCTCTGCAGTATCGACAAGTTCACTGGGTATCGAACTTGCCCATCACCTCACAACCGACGATGGCAGGCCCCTTGCGCTCCTTCGGCGAAGCAGGGGCCGCCGTCAGGCTAGCCCCATGCTCGAATACAGTTGGGGTTTCGTTCAGCGGGTGCACGGCATGGCCAATTGGGGACGCTGTCGGTTCCGATACTCCGTCTGCACCACGGCGGGTTTCTTTCAATTGCCATGGGACATCGGCTTGCAGGTTCCCCAAGTGCAACGAAGGCCAGTCTGTCCGTCGTCCCTGGATTCCTTGAGCACGCGGCGACGACTTCCGATCTGCCGGGAAACTCTTTCTAGCGCCCATGGGCAGCCTTGTGTGGGATGACTTCAGTACTGACTGGGATATTTGAGCTAGGATCTTGGTTTCCAGACCCGACACAGCTAGTTCCTCCTCGAATCTCGAGTTCCATGTCATGGGTTTGTGATTGACAACCTTGACATGCCTATGCAACCAGGCGGAACGCAACTCTCGGCAGCGATGCACCGAATGTTAACGAGATGGATAATACGATGCTACTACGAATACATAGCTCGGGTGCCTGTTGATTGAGCAATGTTCTACTTGCCGGCCACCGCCTTGCCATGTTTGGCTCAACCTTTCTCGCTGATGCTTCGCAATGTTGCAGCAGTGGTAGCCTGGACAATAGTTCGGAAGAAACGGTCTTGACCAGGGGACCTAACCAGAACAATGCCCCTATCCTCACACCCCTTGGGAAAGCTGACGTGAAGCAAAATAGGTAGCGCAACCCCGATTCTTCCCCACTTGGCCGTTTGCTGGCAGTCATTTGTCCACTAACTTGATGCGCTCCCTTAAGAACTCCAACTGCTTTCCCCATCGCCCTACCTTGCGCCCACCGCTCGAACGGTCCGTTCTTACCGAAGAGCCCATATCGCCCAGAAAGTATCAACGAACAACAAGTACGGAGAGCGCCTTTCATCAGCTATGCTCTTGCATGGTTTGGCATGGCACAGCAGCTTGACAGGGAGCTGAAGAGCGTCTGCCGGTCATGAAGTCAAGTGACTCTGCTTGGAGCGCTCAAATCCCACATTGACCTTGCTTGTTATCGGCGGCGTTGCGGTCTCCCTCACTTGCAGACATTTGAACACCAATCCGCCTCGCCTGTCCAGGGTGGTGAGAAATCTCCCCATCCCGGCAACCAATGTTGCCATGCACCACCGGGCTTTCCGTTTCCTATCGATGCTGGACGGAGGAATGACCACAAACGGCTGACAACTTCTCGTTGAAGCTTCCGTTTAAAACACGTACGTGGGAAAGTCACCCTCCGTTTAGACGTACTAGGCCCCATACGTCTGCCCAACTCTTCGGGTTCCTGCTACGTTGTACTTTGTTTCTCACCCCTTCCGTGGCTCTCGTTATCAGTCCCGTTTCTTTACTTCCTTCTGCAACTAGACCCATATTGCCTCATTTTTAGTGATCGTCTTTCATTTAGACGGATAAATGTCGGGCTCATGTGAGCATTCACGCTTGTGGTTTGCCTGCACTTTGAGTCTCATATAAGTCTTACATGCGTCCATCACCAATCTTCTACTTGGCGTGCGCTCTATCCCATAGCCACTCGTCTACCATACCCTCCACAAGTCAGCCTATTTGAGAGAGAGGGACTTTCAAGAGGTTACAACGTCAACTTTTGAGCCCTTTTGGATTCCTGAATTCAGTCAATCTCCCTTCCGCCAGACGCGGTTCTCGTCCCAGAAGCCCCGCTGCACCCCGTCAGACGCACTCCATCGCCACTTTCCGTGCTTCGCATTGCAAAAGCCGCCCGGGATCCAGGAACAATATCTCTCACCAGATAGTATCCTACGCTGGGGGCGTCTATCAAGATGAGCGCCCTAACAGACAGCCAAGCGGGGCGCGATGTTGAGGCACCTGTCTCTCCACCCGAAACCGAGACGAGCAATTCGACGCCGACCACGGTGTTTTCTCCGCCGGATAGTCCCCAACAAAAGGTCCAGCAACTTTTGAGAGATACAAGAGTTGCAGCAAGGAAGAAGCTGGATCAGCTGACGCTGGAGGAGAAAGTATGGCCAGAATAGTCACCGCCTCAGGATAGAGGGCTTACACTAATAGTACGTAGGTCTCGCTGCTTACCGCCGCAGATTTCTGGAGAACAAAGGCTATTCCATCCAAGAACATACCATCAGTAAAGACATCAGATGGACCTAACGGTGCCCGTGGTGGCATTTTTGTCGGCGGTACCAAGGTTGGTTGCACTAGACGACAATATCCTCAACTAAGTAGCTAATCTTCGCAGGCTGCTCTTTTCCCCTGCGGAGTCTCCCTGGCGGCAACTTGGAACAAGGACCTGCTCTACGAGGTTGGCCAACACCTGGCCGATGAGGCTAAAGCAAGATCTGCGAACATTCTACTGGCGCCGACAGTTTGCATGCATCGACATCCCTTAGGCGGGCGTAACTTCGAGTCCTTCTCTGAAGACCCTCTTCTGACTGGCAAGCTGGCCGCCCAGTATGTTCGTGGTTTGCAGGAGAAGGGCGTGGCTGCAACCATCAAGCGTTTGTGCAATCTGATCTCGAGGAGACTGTCTCTTTCTAACATTCAGTAGACTTCGTTGGCAATGAGCAAGAGACGCACAGGCTGACGATAGACTCTCTGATCCAAGAACGTCCCTTGCGCGAGATTTACCTGCGACCGTTTGAGATTGCTGTACGCGAGGCGAACCCATGGGCTCTCATGTCCTCATACAATCTCGTCAATGGCGTACACGCGGATATGCACAACCTGGTACTGAGGGACATCCTTCGAGGCGAGTGGGGTTACGATGGGTGAGAAGAACTCGGCCAATACCTACTTTAGGGTTCCTGCATACTGACTTGCGTTTAGCACCGTCGTGTCTGACTGGGGTGGCACAAACTCGACAGCCGAGTCTATCCTCGCAGGGTGCGATGTCGAGTTCCCGTACTCTCCAAATTGGCGCTTCGACAAGGTAATTAAGGCCATGAATGAGGGCAAAGTGGCTCTAGAAGATATCAACCGCGCCGCTGAGAATGTTCTTACCCTCGTCGAACGACTCAAAGGCGACGACATATCAGCAGAACTGCCAGAGAGAGAGGACAATCGCGAGTCGACACGCAATCTCATCCGCACTGCTGGAGCCGAGGGCCTGACACTTCTCAAAAACGATGGCGCAGTCCTTCCCCTGGATCGGAAAACAACCAAGGTTGCTGTCATTGGACCAAACGCAAACCGAGCTATTGCCGGTGGTGGAGGAAGTGCGAGCTTGAACCCCTACTACAGAACACTTCCACTGGACAGTATCCGCGCGACTTCTGAGCAAGAAGTTACTTTCGCCCAAGGCTGCCACATCTACAAATGGCTCCCAGTCGCGTCACCGTACTGTACCGAGAAATCAGGCAAGCCCGGTGTCAATATCGATTGGTACTCTGGCGATAAGTTTGAAGGCGAAGTGGTTGTTGTCCAGCGACGAGTGAACACGGATCTGTTTCTCTGGGATTCTGCACCCCTAGCTGAGATCGGCCCCGAATGGTCAGCGGTTGCGACGACTTACCTTACGTCAAAGAGTACAGGAAAGCATACGGTTAGTTTCATGAGCGTTGGCCCTGGCAAGTTGTACGTCGATGGCAAGCTTGCTCTGGATCTTTGGGATTGGACCGAGGAAGGAGAAGCCATGTTTGATGGGTCTGTGGACTACCTCGTCAAGGTCGATATGGAGGCTGGTAAGCCTGTGGAGCTCAAAGTTGAGATGACCAACGAGCTTCGCCCGGTGGCAAAGCAGAAACAGTTTGACATAACGCACAAGTACGGAGGCTGCCGGATTGGGTTCAAGGAAGAAGACCAAGTTGACTTCCTTCAGGAGGCCGTGGATGCGGCTAAGGCGGCTGACGTTGCAGTTGTCATTGTTGGTCTGGATGCGGAATGGGAATCGGAAGGATACGACAGACAGACTATGGATCTACCTTCCGACGGTAGTCAGGATCGACTCATCGAAGCAGTGGTCAAAGCAAACCCTCGTACCGTCGTCGTCAACCAGTCCGGCACACCCGTGACTATGCCTTGGGTCGACCAGATTCCCGCCATTATTCAGGGTTGGTACCAGGGGCAAGAGGCTGGAAACGCCTTAGCCGACGTCTTGTTCGGCATCAAGTCCCCGAGTGGAAAGCTCCCGGTAGGTCATTTGCTCGTCGTATCTGCAAGTATGCTGACAGATGTGGAAGTCGACTTTCCCCAAGCGCATTCAGGACACTCCCGCTTACAACAATTGGCCTGGTGAGAACCTAAAGGTCAACTACGGCGAAGGTCTGTACATCGGGTACCGCCATTACGAGCGAGCCAATATCGTGCCGCTGTTCCCCTTTGGTCACGGTCTTTCCTATACCACTTTTGAATACGGCCGTCCATCAATCAGCACAAAAACACTCACGTCTCGAGGCACAATCGAGGTGGTCTTTGCAATTAGCAACATTGGCTCGGTACATGGCTCCGAGGCTGTGCAGATCTATGTGCGGGATGACAAGTCCAGGCTACCCCGCCCGGAGAAGGAGCTTGTCGCCTTTGAGAAGGTGTTCTTGGAAGCCGGGGAAACGAAGCACCTCACCATTCGCCTCGACAAGTATGCCGTGGGCTATTATGATACCTCGGTTCCGGGCTGGATCGCGGAGGAGGGTACCTTCAAGATCCTTATTGGCGCATCATCCGCTGATATCAAGTAAGTCGTCTGATTTGAAGCATGGTGGAAAGAGGCTAACACAGTCCTCAAGACACTCCGTCCAGTTCGAAGTCAAAGAGTCATTTAATTGGATCTTCTGATTTGACCTTTTTGATGCTGCTTGATACTCACTATACCATCTCATACCTTCTTTGTCCGTGTATCTGGTCGGAGTACATACTTTGCGTGATCGAGTAGAGAGACTCATGTGAATGAGAAGGACGCTGATCTATCGAAGACA